ATGGAAATAATTAAGGAAAACAGGGAGCAACCGGAATAACAACAGAATTGGAAGAATGACGGATATCGTAGAAAATAACTTAAGAAAGATGTGCAAATGATGTATTTAATGTATGATTTTCATATTTTACAAGCGCATTGTGTAATTTCGCTTGAAATAATAAATTGGTGTTCCTCACCTAATTCTTCGTCCACTACAACGGAATGGAAAATATAACTCATTCATCTGCATTTTACACTCCAGCTTACAAACGGAGAAAAAGCTGAAACCAATAAAACAAACTACACAAAACCAGAACTATTATGCAATTCGGAATAAATGCCGATGAAATGTTGTTGCACGTGATATTACTGTAAGATCATCTTTGTTGATGATCTATGTCGAAATGATTGGGGGCCTACTAGAGTTAAACGAGAATGGTGACGAACCAACTAACGCTGAAGTTACACCTCGCGACCGGCCCTTACGTGGTTTGAACTATCGACGCACCAAAGGATCATGGACGCTATGGAGGCTGTACAACACAAAGGACGTTATTAGAAGAATATATTAGTTAAGGTACAACTACGACAGTACAGAAGTGGAAGAGCAACCACTGCCGCGTGGGCCAGTCCATGGCGTACGATTGATTTGTGCGCGTTGACTATCCTTGACCTTGACAGGGATCAGTGATCTGTTCGATATTCAGTGACCCTACAATACTCCCCCACCAGATTCAACGGCCGTTTGAATCGATACCAAAAATGTTGGGAGTAGTCGCGCGACGGAGGTTGCCAGACGATTAATATGAATCCTCCGGGTATTGCCGAGCTGTAAAAGAAATGGAAAGGAGGCTGCAGAAACTGATCGGGAAACAACGAGTAATAACACGTAACAGGGACGTTGGTTGAATGTTAACCGATCAACCATAGAAACAATAGAAAAAGAAACATTTTGGAGTTTTATCAAGTCGCGTTGAAAAAGATAGCTCTGACAAGTGGTTGAGTTCCTCAGGTGAGAAAAGGTAAGTTTGTCGCAAGAGTAGTGATGTCACAGTGATAGTACGATAAGTGTATTATCAATCGGTGCCGATGTTTGTACTGCCCTTGGTACAAAGTAGAAAGTCAGTAAGTGTCGCTGACAACTGTTCGTAAGTGTCGATTTCTAGTTATATCTATATTTAACAGACTAACTGTAAGTACAGAATTATAACCGTGAAGATAAGTCGTAGTTTCCTTGTGCAAAGCTTCTGATCAACTTGCAGTCAGTTTGGAAAAACTGATAACTGCTGTGAAAATCAATATGGGTCGAAGAATAGAGAGCGAGAGCGAAAGGTGGCACGATGAAATCTCTAAAAGATGATAATTGGTGTGTGCTGCACACGTGTTTGATGAGTGAACCGAAAAATGTCGAAAAAAACATAAGAAACCAAGAGTGTCACTCTGGACTCATTTCAATGATATCGTTGAAAAATGCTATCAGTGTTGGGGTCGAAACGACAATATCGTTGTCAGTTTGCAGGAGATGCGCTCGACTGCGTAAACCGATGATTCGCGTGAATGAGTGTGTTGTCAAACCACCAATTGAACTGGACAGGCTTTAGATCGTCGAGTAGTTGAACAGCTGATTGGTGTACCGAAATCATCTGTTAGATAACAGCCACGCGGAAACCATACTTCATAATATGAAAAAATATGACGTCGAAGTTGAATAACTACAATAGTTCGGATGTAATGTAATGTCACATCGAAGTAACATCATTTCGTATACTGACAATTGTACTGAACGTTCGTTTGGGCATTGTTTATGTAGCAATTGGATGTGCAGTAGCAAACATTATCGTGGGGTTCGTGGAGAGTTTCAGAGGACGTTTAGATATTTTTCAAACCCGTGTCGCATGTGAATAAGCCGAAGACGGAATTAAAGTGACTTTCGTGCAATAAAGAAATCGAGTCATGATTTACTGTATGAGATAACAGCAAACAAAAAAGCGCATAGTAAACAATAATTTAAATGGTAACCACCAATGTAACTAAAGTTTAGGTTTAGATAACGTGATCGTTTCGTAAAAAAAGCATATTATCTAGCTCTAAGTGACATCAAGTACGACGAAGTGTCTCATTAAGACATGGACTAAGATTGCTCGTGTACATGAAATACGTTTTTTCGGAGTATGTTGACTTACAAGTCATTAATGTACATAGTTTCGACCAAAATTTGATGGCAGGGACAGAATGTATGTCTAAGTGAAAGTAGCCGCGGAATGTTATTAGACATCATAAACATTATACGAAATTATTTAACAGTTATGAAATTCGCCTGGGTTACTCTTGCTCCAAAGTAATTGAAATTTGTTGATTAACTTCGTAGATTAACGAAGCGTTGTAGACTGAATTGGAATAAGTCTAATTTAGGTCGAAAACGTAGAATTGCCTGACGAAGTCTAAACAAGATCTAACATTGCAGGAAATTTATGGTTCAAACTCACCGTAAATTTCTAGCATTTGTATCCTCTGATTCGCCATGGAACTCAGCAATTGGAAATTAGGCATGCAGTGGTCAAGAAAGTAAAATATTCTAGTAGATAGTTTTTGATAGTAGTTAGTTGACAGTGAATAAGCAGAAATATGAATTTATTAATCGGCAGTTTATCCTGTATTGGTTATACAAGTGGATAAGTTGCAAACAGATATGCGTACGTGTTGCCTTGAGGTCATACTTACGAGTGGTTGATATTTTAACAGACATATTACACAGGAGTATTTACATGCTGCTAATGCTTGTTAAAGAACCACGATAGTCGTAGTTGATTGGTTAGTTCTATCGATTGAACTAATTATTTCAGTTGAAATACTAATCAACATTGATATGAAGCAATGAATGTTCACAGAAACTGATAAAGATAGCCGAAGATAAAAATGAAAAATAATAAGTACAGAATGCAATAAAAAAATTATAATGATAGGTTGCGTTATTCGAAGTCTTGCTCACCAGTGTAAGATCATCTTTGTTGATGATCTATGTCGAAATGATTGGGGGCCTACTAGAGTTAAACGAGAATGGTGACGAACCAACTAACGCTGAAGTTACACCTCGCGACCGGCCCTTACGTGGTTTGAACTATCGACGCACCAAAGGATCATGGACGCTATGGAGGCTGTACAACACAAAGGACGTTATTAGAAGAATATATTAGTTAAGGTACAACTACGACAGTACAGAAGTGGAAGAGCAACCACTGCCGCGTGGGCCAGTCCATGGCGTACGATTGATTTGTGCGCGTTGACTATCCTTGACCTTGACAGGGATCAGTGATCTGTTCGATATTCAGTGACCCTACATTATGAAATAAATATATACTCGATGAATCCTTTACTTTTCTCCTAATTGGGTCAGCTCAGGGACTACAGAAAGTAAGCCCAAACGTCAGAAATAAGGGATGCACCTGTCTTATTTAAATTTTCAACTGAGTAAGTTTGTATTTTAGCCAAGTTAAGGAAAGAATGTTGTGCGGATCTTCATATAACTCATTCAAGATAATATCATACGTGAACAGAAGCTCACTAGAAAGTCAATTCTGCATAGACTTGACGTTCTGTACCCGATGCGAAAGTAAAAAGGTTTTAAATATCACTCGATGGTTTGTTTTACATTGCTAACTCTAGTGTTTGATTGTGAGGGAAATATAAGTTATGTTGCTAGTTGTTGTTTACAATGATGTAGCACATAGTTTAGATGCAGACAATGGATGGAATGTACTTTTTTTAAAGCAAAGAATTTGTCAGGATTTGAATCTTAATTCAGATATTTATTGTCTATCATACAGGAAATCTCATGGCTATGAATTATTGCGTGAAGATTACAAATTGCTAGATTATAATCTTACACCTGACTGCTATCTGTATCTCCATGAGCGGCATCCGAAAAGAGATTATTTCGTTTATTGCTATCCATGTGAATCTATTCGTCCTGCGTTGATGACTTTTAGTTGTTGCCTTTGTAAATTAGAATTTATTCCTGTATGTCAGGACGTTGACTCAAAGATTTGTTTGGGAAAGTGCTCTTCTAATGACTGTAATTCAGCAGAAGCTAAGATAAATTTTTCATGCTCTTTCATGTTATCTCATGGTCCAGCGGTTTTCTTGAAGCATATAAAACAAAATAGTAAAGAGATATGTTGTGCTGCGTGCACGTCATCGGAAATGGAGATTATAATATGTATTTGCGAAGAGGAAGGACATTCTCTTTGCCTTGAGTGTTTCAGAAAGTACACAGAAGAGTATTTTAACTCTGGAATGTTCCATTTTCTTGACAACGTTGGATACACTATCAGTTGTCCTGCTGGATGTCCCAATTCATTTGTTATGGATCCTCATCATTTCCGCATTTTAGGTTCGGAATTTTATTCACGTTATAAAGAGCAGTCAGTTAAACGGTATTTGCTTTCTAAAGGCTCCACATCTTGTCCGTCATGTGGAGTAGATTGGCAAATCACAGACTCTCAACGTAATGTAAAGTCTCCTGGCATTTGGCATCGTTGTCTCCCACCTGTTGGTTGTGGGTCACTATTTTGTTCTTCCTGTGGTTGGAACTGTGGCCCGTTAGATTCTGAATGCTCACATAATGTGTCTCTCGAGTGTTTCTGCAAAGAAAAACACGAGTCTTCTAGGAATACATCCTCTGCGAATTCCAACTCTGTTTGGAAATCATTAAAATTAAAAGTAGAAGATGTAGAAAGTCGCAAATATATCAATGAAACATGTCATCCTTGCCCAGGCTGCAAGTCTCTTACTCAAAAGCATGGTGGTTGTAATCATATTCACTGCTCAATATGTGGACTTGACTGGTGTTGGATTTGCTGTAACAAGTGGACTCCCGAATGCTTATCTACCCACTGGTTGTAATTTAACACTTCTTATTTTCTCAGATTTCTAGTTTTTAATAAAGTTTTATTGAGTAGATTCCAGTTCTCAAAATTTTAGATCTTTATTTCTATAATATTAGAAATTCTTTTACAGAACATGTCTGCCGGACCTGTTCGTGCCCCACTTGTTATCCCCCTGAGAAGTCCAGATTTAGGCTTGTACAAATCACATTTGGATACAAATACATATCTAGATCTTACTTGTGATACGCCGGATGTAGCTATTTATTTTACAATTAATGGGAATAGACCAACGGTTGCAAAAAGTAGGAAGGAACTCCAAAATAGTGGGACGTATAAATTTCAGAAGCCTTTTACTTTACCGCCTGGATGTCATACTATACGAGCAGTTGCTGTTTCTCTGTAAGTTCTTAAAAGCTGTTTTGTGGATTGATTTATCCTAACACAATCCGTATCAAACATTTTTTTCGTTTGAAGGTTTTCATCACAAATCAACCATTAAAAACAAACGTTTTATATCTTCATTTTAAACTTCTGGAGTAGATAATCAAAACCCTGCTTTACATCGAATCTATAAGCATTAGAACCCGCAAACACGCATTACTAATTACTTACTTATGTGAATTCCAACGGTTCACATATTCCAACCGTAGTCACTTCACAATGTTTTGCTACTCAATATTATTAGAGAAAACCTATTTCATTAATTTTTGCTACTAATTATATTTGAAAATTAAGGAAATAGATATATCGCTATGATATAAACGCACATTCAAGAAGTATAACACATACACTGTCCAAAATACCTCCTCTGGTTTGTAACGCATTCAGTTGATTATGGCTGGTAATAAAAAGTCACCTGTATATATGTTTTGTCTTTGTTTTTTCCATCGAGTAATGTGACGTTTCCGTTCATTGATTTAATTGGTTACTTCTAATTAGACTCAAAAATATATACATATGTCGAAAGAGAAACTTGGCTCGATTGATTTCCGAGGTTCATATCTATCCGCTACTTATTTGCATCTTAATCTGAACATATTATTTTTTTGCATGTAATTGTTTAGTTCCATTTGCTTTTTGTCTAATTCCACATTGCTGTCAGCATTGTAGTTATCATCACTTGCCGACTTCTCTTTGTTGTTATGAAGTGTGGTTCCATAGGTGTTTACAAACTTCTTAGTCGTTTATGTATCTGTGATAGTGTTAGGCAAGCCGTGTTTAGCTTAACAGTTGAACAAACAAGCTATCACCCACATTACTAACATCCCAAAAAACAGAAGGATTGATGGTTCTATGGAATAAAAATAATTATAAACGCTAACAGTCTAGCTAACTAGCTTTAGTAATATTAAAAATCAGACTTACCAATAGTTTTCAATGTGAATAACTTTTATCATATGTTGCGAAATTTCTGTGAATGTTAGTTGTATCTATAATTTATGATCATAAAGTTATATCACTCTGCACCTCATTAGTTCTAGTACTCGTATTTATTTCCAATGCATGACAGTGTGGAATTCGGTACTATGCTACCGCTGTTTTGATTATTCTAGATTTGGTACAAATGAGTCGGGCTGTTCTTTTTGGGACATTAACCACATATTCACTTGACCATGTTGGATACCCGCTTTTAACCTTGATCGTTTACATATATGAGCCTACTTCTGCGTACGTGTTCATCAGTTTCTCTATGTACCTTGCTCATTTTTCTTTCCGATCACAATTATTGAGTCAAGCCTTACCTTAGTGCCTGTTTGAGAAAACGAGAACCTGAAACAAGTAAACCCAAATTAATTCGTCTTTAGCTCTTTATTAGCGCCATCGCCCAAATGGGTTTGGCCTAAATACCATACATGAAATTAAATGGAGAGTTTATGTCCATGGTTCATTCACTGTTCATTCGTTAGTATTATCATCCCATAATAAGAAAGTTAGATGAGTGGTCAATAATAGCTCCTAGATAATTTAAATCATCCTGTGAAATACTCATTCTGTGTCCATAGTCTGTATCAGATGCTGATAATTAACTCTTCTTTGTGTCCTTGTTTTCAATTTCTGACATCTAACTTAACACGTATCCATTTTTTGACTTTTCCTTATGTTTAATGTATTTTCTAGCTCAACCAGCGTCAGTATTGATAGGTGGGCCCTTATAAAAGGAGCTGCAAGCTAGGGAAAGCCAATTATTTAGTTTTACACAGTTTTTATTCGCCCTCCGACCAATTTTACTTTATAATAAACACTATTTCAAAGGTTGTAACAAGTTATTATCAAGTTTTTAGAGTTTATATTAATTTCATTAACTCTTCATCGTTCCTTCAAACTAAACTTGTTTTTGTTGTTAATATGTATTAGGGATAATGGTAATGAAAGCAGTGTAGTTACAAAGACATTCGATGTGGTCAAAGTCAAGAATTTTCATGTTAATGACAAAAATGACTTTGGAGATGATTATGGTTTTCTCAATGAACTAAAGTTAATCGATTCCAAACGTCGAAGACAACTGGTAATGATGTTATTTTTTACTTAATTATTTGCATAATGTTGGTGTAATAGAAACTGTTATTTTTTAAATTTAGTAAACTGAATGACATGATATATTTATCTTCCTATTATAGACCCGTCTCTTTATGTTTAGTTGACATTAATTTTCATTTCAGTAAAGATTGGTAGTAGCTAACAGTGGAATTCAGGAGTTTACAAGAACACTAGGGTACGAGTCCATTGAACTGGCGAGTCTCCATTGGAACGAAACGCTCCCCATGGATCTTGATGCTATTTGTGAATCAATTCTTTCAGGACTCAAATCTGCCAAAAAAGACTAGTGAAAATCCAATCCTCAACATGACCAACTGATAGATTCAAACACTGAACTATAATCTCTTTTATTTTCATTTAGCTTGGAAAATTGATCAAAAGTTACGTTTTTATCTAGACGCTTCATACACTGATAGTCATCAACCCATTCTTGTTTATGTTTGTCGCCTTTTCGGTCGAACAAACCACAATAAAATTCTCTATCGGTTGTTTTTGTTATTAGAATTTTACTTTTGTATGTTTGTGGATGCGTTGTGCTATTGTCATTAGTTTTTTGATCATACAGTTGTTCGTTTGAATTTTCGTGCTCGTAATCATATTTTTATCATGTAGGTTTCTATTACTCGACAAGTTTTTTCATCAAGGACACTTAGTATTATGTCGTCTGTGGTGTAGTATTTGTAAAAATCTCTCTTTGTTCAACCTATATCAAATGAAAACGCGATTCGAAGGGAAACGTAAACATATTCGAAAGCAAACAAAAATGTTTATATGGTACAAAGCAACCTTCATATAAAACTTACCCTAGGGTTTTTCAAGGTCTTCTTGGCTGATCCACTAATAACGACTGTTTGGAAATAGATTAACCAGCGTCCTTCAATGCGGATTGTCCTGAACATATTTTAATCAAGCCTTTGTCATGCTGCACAAGGTCTATTTATATCTCGCTGCTGGCCTAAATGTATCGATGGATTCAGATTAGTTCGGAAGAGATCACTCAGTTTCCTCGTATCATTCTTTCGGTGAACGTGCAGAGGTATTTTGTTACCAGTTTGTTCTCATAACGTTACCATTCTTTTGACAGGCTTTTTTATTACTTTAGTAATATTACGCTAAATAAATGCCTGAGTTTTCCCGTCAACATACTTTTTGATTACTTACAACTGAAAAATCAAAAAACGTCTCTACAGCGTGTATGTTCAACGAATATCACAACGCTATGAAGTGTTTTCTTTCCTTTTAAACTTCAGTAAGTAGGAGGAAATCACACACAGTTTGTTCGTTCAAAGAGTTGACTAAGTAATTTTGAAACCCACTATATGGGGGTTTTGTTAGCATCGGCATTTAACACTAATATTTAATGATATTATTCTTAGTTGTTTGAGCTGTATGGATTGTGATTAAACCTGCAATACCTAAACTACGGAGTTCTATTTTTATCACATTTTAAAAATTGATCCTATGATTTTAAATATGCAACTAAGGGTTAATATGTGTATTTCTATATAGTAGCTATAATTTGCTCAACAATTGAACACATCAAAATATCCCTTTAGTTATAAATATATTTATCCTAGTTTATTTATAAATTACCCTTTCCGTTTTTAACTTTCCCAGTCGGGAGCAGATCGCCCTGACGCTCATGAGTCTATTCATCGCTTATCGGAGAAAGATAATGAAACTGTCCGAAAATGTTCTTCAGAAAAAAAATGCCCTCACGTAATCAAGAAGTCTACCAAAGGTACCTTTCTACTAAATACTGGATTTTTGAATTCTACTAATTTACCTGTTTAGGACTTTGTTCTGTGTTAGATTAAGGTTAACTATTTTTATTGGTTAGCTAGATGATTTTAGTATAAAAAGCAGTTAACTAATTTTAATGGTTAATTTTAACCGTCAGAGTGTCAGTTATAGACGAGTCTTAATAATAGTTTCTCAATAAGTTATTTTCCTCTTCACTAGCGGTAAATAATTCGATAAAATTACAAGACGGAAGTATATATTTTAAAAAGTGTTACTCAATATTCAAAAGTTTTGAATAATGCCAACACTCGTTTGTGAAAACGTATATTAAAATCAGGTAGTTGGTGTTGTCCGGTTCACATGCTTTTGCTTTTACCTTTTGATTAGAAGTTCTTCAATGTTGAGTTAATTGACTAAAAAACTGTAAACTAGCTATCTTTTTGTCTTGCTTTTTATTTTATACTAATTCTTGATAATAAAAATTGTTTATACGTCATGAGAACCATACAATATACTCATCTATTTACACTAATTTCCATAATAATATTCGCCTTTTTTGTTTCTGCTAGTATTTCAAACAATTGAGATGAATTTTCTAAATCGTAAAATTACTCATTCTTCAGCTGAAATAAACCTATTATTACTTATTACTTTTTAATCTTTCAAGGATTTTACATCTGTTTTACGATCAATTGGTTAGTTTCAGTTACTAAAATGGTTGTTACCTGTGGTCATTGCTTACTTATTACTAATTTCGAGAGACTGTTTTCTTCGTAACCAGGATTTTTCTTTTCTTAATTTAGTTCTTGTTTTCGTACATTCTTACTTGATAGTTAATATTTCTAGTTGTGATGTGGAATTGTTGCTCACCTTATTTCTTTTATTCTCAGCATTATTTTTATGTCATATTATTGTTAGCGGTGATGAATGCTGTTATTTTTATAAAATTTTATTGATTGCGTATAATTACAGTAGAACTTAACTAATTAGCCTTTCATGTAGGAAGCGTAACATTCACTGGTGGTGTAGTGTTTTATATTATTCAACCACGTGCTGTTCCGTAGTCTTGACTTTTTATTAACACTTTCGAGGTTTATCTCTTGCAGTTTTACAAACATCTAGGCTAATAAGTACTTCGCCTTACTGCATTTGATTTCTGTTTTTGAAAAAATCATATTTATATACCAGTACATTGTTTATTTAAAGATAATGATCTTTTGTTGTTCTACATATACTGTAATGAACAGAACACTGGTTGGGGACAATCGGATGTATTTAAGCAAAAATTACAGACTATCTAAGTAAATTCTGATAACCAAACAATGAACAGTCAATTTGCAAATTAACAACCAATTGTTTCAATCTTCTCTTATTCTATTGCTCATGCATTTTCCAAACGATTGTGCTTCATTTCAGTTCTTTCGTCATCGGTCTTCTGCAAAAATACATTCTATGTCTGACCCACACCATATACTACTTATATGGATATAAGTAGACCACACCACAATACTTGTATTTATTCATATCTGGCAATTACGAAAGGGGCCTGACAGTAACCGATGTATTCTTAAACAATATCTGACTGTACATGGTTGACAAATTATGATAAAAAGTAAAAAAATACTGGGATTCACGTTTTAGTATAGTTTAGTGGAATTTTCCAATAACACCAGTGTTGTCAATTTGTTACGTACAGCTTTCAGAAAATGCAAGTCTTCGATGTAAAAATAAAATCATTGCATGATAACAAAAGAGCATCCCAGAGAATATTAGCGGATCGTTTCTAATAAATAACACATAGGCAGCACCTGAGATAAATATATTATAGCATCTCATTAGTTAATCTTTAATATTCAACTTGATAAATTAAAAATAGACATTAAGTAACCCGAAGGTAGCGTTGTTTATTTGTGATATTTTCTTGAATCTAACCTGAGTTGAGTATAACTGAATTCTAACTGCCTTAAGGAGCTAGAAACTTACGGTAACAATAAAAATTCGTTTCAGTCTTTTAAAAAATAACACCGTATTTTATTTGTGCAAATATATATGCTTGTAATACTGAACAAGTTGCCTTTAGTATTTATCATAATTAATAATCATATTTACATGTATGAATCCATTTTACTCACCATTAAATGTGCTGATTTATTTACATTAACATTATTTTAGATCAAGAAAATCATGTTAATTTGAAAAGTGAGTCTGTATTATCAACAGACAATCAGAATAATGTACGTTTTGTTTTCTTTTTCATACCGTAACCGTGTTGTTTTCATTGTTACACTATTCTCTTTGTTAACTTCAACTTGTAATTATTTATCTTTGATTTCATTCTAGCATTTCGGTTACACTATCAATTATTAGATATTATAATTTCTCTTATTACGACCCAACTATTCCTATTGCTTAGGATTCCTGGACACCAATTCACTCGGCAAGTCCCGAAATCAGAACACGTTTGAACAGGAACGAAATTATATTCCAAGTAACAAGGGTAGATAGAAGTAGGAAGCGAAATAAGAAAAACGTTAGTATATTTATGGTTTTTACGTGTTAAATTTCTAGTCTTCTCCAAGTATCCACTAGCACTGATTGGTTAAGAAATAGACGATCAGCGTGCCCCAACATAATCCTGCACGGAACGTGTTTTAATCCAATCCATATTCCGCTGACAATTAGATAATTCGACAGAAAAATAATAGATCTTTAAGTGTTTACTTGTGAAATCATTTTCCTTATCCCCTAGTCAGACAACAAGCTTTTGCTTGTGTACAATGGTTAAAATAAAATCGCGACTCTTATAAAAGTTAATTTTTATAGCTCAGTAGAGCACCAAGTTGGTTACTTGGGCTCTGCTGATTATAATCCTACCACAACTCAGATTTATTTCCAATCTTGAATATTTTCTTTATAAAGGGGTCCCAGTTTGCTAAATAAGGTGGAAATATTTTATTGTAATTTGTTCCTCCCAAGTGAGGTTTATGAATTGTAAACTTTTAAGACGTAAGTATCTCCAACAGCAAGGTCTTACACAACATGTACTAAACAAACTTGAGATTTTTTATCTCAGTTTGCATAAATAAGGAATAATATCCTAACAAACTCTTGTTGATAAAATAATCCAAGATGGCAGGACATTTTGTGTAGTCTGTTTACAGCATTTTAGTTCAGCGAAACAAGAAATTTTGACTAAATATGTGATTTAAAGGATTATAAAGTGTTTTCACTCTTATATTATCACGAACATACAGTTCTAACAGAAAGAACTACAGGGAATTTGGAGATTTTATAATTCAATATCCACTTGAAGCTCCTGTACGTTAGTCATTCACCTATGAAAAATGGTCTATTTAATTTAGTACTAATCGTGACTTATTCACATGTTGAAAAGGATCATCTAAAGTTATTATAATCGGATTCGACCGTTTAAGCATGAGTTTACACAAACGTTTGAAGGTGTTTAGGAAAATAAAAAATGGATATTTATGGAATTAGGTTCCAATATCAATTTGTTATTGTATTCGTTAGTTTACGTAACTGTAAAAACAGGCAGTTGTTTGACCAGTCCAACTATTAATTTTGTTTTACTTCTTTGAGTAAGTAGAGTTTTAAGTTTTGACAAAAATCGAAGATAAAAAAGGTGGCAAGATTACGAATGTTTGTCACAGTGTTTCTGAATTAACGGAGTTGTTTATTACATGCTCAAAAATACAACTATTTGTTGGTAAAAAGAGATATACATTTAGTTTACCATTATTTATTACAAAATTTAAAGCACATCTAGTTAAAAGTGTACACTAAATTGAAGTAACACTAGTGTATAAAGTTGCCTATCAAACATCATTCAAACTACTGTATTTTTTAAATTTTCAGTTTTTTACATACAGCCAAAAAAATCATAGGGATTCACACAAATGATCTTTGCGTTCAGATGAACTTTATACAACGTCTTCCTGTATCCTGGCTATTTAATTAATCCCAAATTGTACTGACATCTTTCAATTTGCTTCTAATACTTACATATTCAATTTCAACAATAAAACTTACTACCCCTACACTGACGTCGCTGTGCTAGTGAGGTTTGGCAAATTGAACTGATGCACACATGTACCAAGTTATACGTTGTGTTAGACTGACTTACTGGCACTCAGTTTTAATGACTAATCATATGAAGTATTTTTCGATTGTTTCTAAGTAACACTTAATTCAAATATATACCTACTGTTAATGAACCCAAAACCAATTGATCAGTATTAATTTTACAATCACTTGTAAAGCCTTTAAATATAAATACTGAACTATGACAAGATAATTGCGAAACCATTTCTTTCGTTAATTTTTATTCTTAAACTTATCTTTATAAAGCAAATGAAAGTAAACTATATATATCTACCTACAGTTTTAGGGTCCCCATCATTTAGATGATCATTTAACTCGACATAAAAATTATTTAAAACATTTAAATATCTTCTGCTTAATTGCATTCATTAATTGCTAAACCGAAAAGCACCAAAAAAATTATAAGGTATGTTAGATGAGAAATATATCAACAAAATAAATCAGTTGAGATGTAATAAAGAGCGGTGGCTAAAGTACTCAGCTTTCAGTCAGTAGGTTGTTGACTGGGACTCTGATTCTCTTACTTTCGTTTGAGCAGTTGGAGTAGCGTCTCTAGTCTTCACACAATTAAAATGTAGTTCAAAGTTGGTTGCATAAAGCTATACCTGATAAATGAATTATATTACACTTAAATCGATAATAATGTAAAATAGATTAACATAAAGTTTACTCATTGACTACATTTTGTTAAGTTGTAGTGTAATGTTTTCTGTACTCTATCCTATTCTTAATGTGTATTCAGTACCTCAGCTTAAAATTGTTTTAAAAAACCTAATCCTCCACTTTGTTTTTACTGATAAAAGTCATATTATTTAAAAACTGATTAGTGTATTTATGAGAGAAAAAAGGGAACATAAATGATCACTGATAAAGATATTTTTCCTAAACTGAAATTTTGATATGGATAACCATTGAAGTTTATTTTCCTGTTTTGAATTTAATCTACACGACCTCATTCAGTATCCAAGTGTACACGTTTACGTAACAGGAAGTCAGTGATTGTAATTCTTATTTTCCTTAACAAGGGTGTAACCTGTTAATCTGTTAAAACTACTTACCATTTACTGCCTTGTTGATTGACTGGATGAACTAGTGTCATATGAACCATTTCTTTCTTTTTTATTTTTAGGAATCAAACAGTTTGGTGTTTTCTAAGCTTTAAAAATAACATTTTAAGGCTATAAATTTTTTCCGTAATAAAGTTTTAGAAATTTGTGAATTTAAACAAGTGTTATTGGTGCAAAATTGTTTCTCATATCCAAAATATGAATTCGATTCATTGAGAATAATAAATAAATTAAGTATAGGAACTAAATAGAAAAATATTCTCCAGAAACACAATTCTTGAATTTCTGTCGTTCTGCTATAGTAGTTGACTGACTGACTGACTATCCATTTCAGTTCACCATCCTGGTAACATCATTATCATTTACACTAAAAACAGGACTCCAATCTGCGTACATTTAAGCATTTCATTACCAAGTTGAATGGTTTCACAAATGATCATGTACCTAGTTATAATAACAATACAATAATTATAAATTACTATTTTCTAATGACATCTAAATGAAATTGCATGTTCAAATATTGAAATTGTTTGAGTTCCAAAAACTTCTAAAAACTTGATACAATATTATACCCATTTAATGTTAACATTTCTAAAGAATACATAAATAATAATAAATACTTACTTACGCCCGTTACCCCTCACGGAGGAGCATGGGCCGCATACGAGTATTCTCCTTCCAACCACCTCCTAGGCAGTCCCTTTCAGTTGTTATTCATCCTTGTCATATCTGCTTCTATTTCCTGACGTGATGTGTTCTTTGGCCTTCCTCCTTTCCGCTTCCCTTCTGGATTCCAAGTTACTGCTTGTCTCGTCATGCAGTTTAGTGACTTCCTCAATGTATGTCCGATCCACCTACAGTGTCTTTTCCTAGTTTCCTCTTCAGCTGAATTCTGGTTTGTTCTCTGTCACAGTAGGTCGTTGCTGATATTATCCGACCTACGGATATTGAGTACCTTGCGTAGACAATTGTTTATAAATACTTGTACCTTCTTGACGATGGTTGTAGTAGTTCTCTATGTTTCAGCTCCGTACAGTAGAACTGTCTTGACGTTCGCATTGAAGATTCTCACTTTGAAGTTAGTTGACAGTTGTTTCGAGTTTCACATGTTCTTCAACTGTAAGAATGCTGACCTTGCTTTACCAATCGTTGCCTTAACATCTGCATCAGATCCTCCTTGTTCATCAATGATGCTTCCCATGTACGTGAGTGTTTCTACATCTCCCAGAGTTTCTCCATCAAGTGTGATTGGGTTGGTCGGTGTTCTCCGTGTTGTATTTAAAAATCTTGCTTTTTCCTTTGTGTACGTTGAGGCCTGTTGATGCAGAGGCTACTGCATACTAAAAACCAACAATGATACATTCGTAAAAAAATAACGTGAATAAATCTTGTCATTGTTTTCATGGGAATTCTATCTATGTAGATTTTTCTTTTGTCTTGAATGAACATTTTCGAAAAAATGTAGTATTTTACTTCCCATGATTGCTAATATTTGTCTACTGATGTCGGTTCGCAGTGAAGATCATGTTAAGATTTCCACAGTTTCTTCATTAATTCGTACTACCTGAAATCAATTGTTTTTATCCAACTGAATTAAGGAGTGAAATACAAATAGTTCACTTATTTTCTAATATTATTTTCTTTTTATACTAGTAAAATTGCAATCGTCTTTTTAAAATTCTATTTTCTCTTTAGAATAGATCGATAAAATCATCATTGATTCATGAATACCCTGAGCTTTCATCTCATATGATTAATAAGCTACAGCAGACAACAGATATTTTACGGTTAGTTTATTGATTTATTTCTACGCAATTCTTCATCTTAACTATATTCAAGACTGAATTTTGGTAAGTTGTTGTCCAAAGATTCAGTTACACCCAGCTAACAAGTCCCGGATGGAATAAAACGCGTTTCTTAGACTTCACTACCAACCACCCTCTATCTGTTGTGTTTACTGATGTTTTTTCTTTGTGATTATTCACTTTGATTGCTTGGCTTTTGTGTAAACTTGTAAATATATTTCAGCTCGTTCATCATTAGTTCGGTATAGCTGTTGTACTTGGTTATTACACTTAAAAAATTTAGTCATATAAATTAAAAGGCTTAAGTTTTTCGAATTTTTCGACCATTTAATATAAAACGATTGAGTTGAGTGAAAACATTACTGGTCGCATAATTAATCACCAAGTTGTATGTTCTGAAGCCGAGCACATAGTATTGGCCGTAATGGTAATATGGAAAGCTTGTGAGACACCAATTGCAAGCATATTTTTCTCTTTGTACTGTACTTTCATGTTCTATGTTGAATAAATGTATTCCATTTACTTTCCTAACACTTAAAAAATATTATTGATCTGAGCGACTAAAATGAAATATGAAATAACCAGCTGTAAACATAAGTTATTGGTTTTGACCACCGTTTAGTCACCTGGCATTACTTACTACCCGTAATACTGTCGTTATTCATTATTGTTCTGGCTCATTTCTCAGTTATTGTATAACTATTACTAAGCATAAATTGTAGCAATTTAGCTTTTATGGGTCGCAGGAAATATTTACAGGTCACGACGAGTTATCAGTCAATTAAAAAACTACTGTGCACGCAGCGTATTTTATACATTTAGGTGAATGTTAATCGTTCATTTTCAATAATTTGTTTCCAGACTTATAAGCTAATTCCATATTTTATCATTCAGATGATATAACACTCGTTACCAAGTCAACATAAACAAACTTTATTTGTTTAGTTTATGTTGTAACCATGTTAACAGTGCTTAATGATAGTGAAAATATTTTCTTAATGATATAATTCGTATTTCATTATTTGCTTTCATCTTGACCGATAAATAATAAAACATCCTTCCAATTTCATATCTGATTGTAGTTAAACAGCCATTTAAAACCGAGAAGCATTGGACAGCTGTTTCACCGTGGTGTCGAACTCCTAAGTGGTGTGCATCCACTGTCCTACCGAAAATCGAACCCAGAAGCTTTTAGACCTTGCACTGAGCGCTTAACCTTTAGACCACTGAGTTGACATTCAGTAGTTTACATTACTAATTTCGGAAAATTCTCGATGTTGCTTGATTGTCTTCCAATATTATCGGTGGGCAACTGCCCCAAACTCAATTTGTTCGTTAAGCGCTTCCATTGAACCCAGTCAAAATACTTTCGTTTTAACCATAAATGATTAATAATATACAATCTGGTGTATTCAAATTAGATACTAAAGAAATAGAAATGACTTATAATTTTTACTTTCTTCCAAAAGCATATTGTCATCCAATGTGTTATTGAAATTGTCTTTGGCGTGCTTTCATTTTATTCTATTACAGAAGAGTATAATATAATGATATTGCTTTTTTCGTTTAAAAAAGTGTAGTTTGTGAAAGCATTTCTAAGTTTTTGTTATTCTTAGAAATGTTACCATAACTTGTAATGGCAAACGCAATAATTTCAAAACCTAGAACTTCGTAAAAATTCCTCCTGGTGAATAAACAAGATTCGATAGAATGTTTTCTGATAACTAAATGATGTTTTGTGTTATTAACCTAAATTACAATTTCTAAATCAATCTTTGTTTTAAGAACTATACGGCATTTGGTAATCTTTTTCAAGGGAAATTGTTAAGAGAATTCAAAGGATTTCAGGCTCGGTAGGCTAAATATTAATTGTATTCTACGTTTTCAACATTAAATTGTGTTATATACTAGATTTATTTAGTCTCGTCAATCTAGATATTTCATTTCTATATTTTTTGATTGAAAAGAATACTTAAAAATAACAATTCAGTTGCCATTGTTAGATTACTAGACATTGTGGTACCTATTCTTACACCTCTTCAGGAAAAAGTATATCTGAGCTTCATTTGTTCAACATTCTTTGTCTTAAAATTTTTGCATTTTCTTTCTTCAAAAAGTAATAATGGATATTTAAAGTTCTAATATTTATAAGTCTTTTACTTGTTGAACTTACCATGCAAAAAATATACAGATTTGAACTTAAAGCTTTTTTTTCGTAAACTTCAGCGTGTTCATTATTATTATTATTATTATTATTATTATTAATACTGTTCAGATGCCCCAATTGTCAACATCCAAGACCAGTGAGTAGAAAACAAAACTTTTGCTTCCATTGTGGTGTAAATCTACCCATACTATCAACACCAAAATATGGTTCTTCTGCTTTAGAGAATATTGGTGTATGTCCTTATTGTAAAGCCCATGTACCATTAAATTTAACTAGTTGTTTAGTTTGTGAAAGTCCACTACAGATGCAGGTATGCTTGTTTTATTTAGTCTTATTAAAATTGACATATTTTTTATGCTTTCTTCAAAAAGAATTTGTAAAAATACCCTTTATACTTTTATTTAGTTAAGTAAATTGTGTAGATAACTTAGGAAAGTACAGAAAAGTAGTAAATGTGTTTCAAAGTAATCATGTGTACATATAGTAAAAGCAAGATTGAGTACGTGATTGAGTATAGCATATTCAGCATTTGTTTCATTAACACTTGTTAATGTGTGTAAGAAATAATTAATCTTTTGTGAATGAAAAACAAGATTCATGATTTGTGTTTCTCTAACTTGACTATGTAGGATAATTTAATGAACATTCCAATGTACCGTACAAACAAAAACTTATTATACCCTTGCATTTCTTAGTTACTAATTATATGAATTTAGTATTGATTGGATAAGTAATTTATATATTTACTACTTTATGAAGCAAAATGTTCGTATCATAATCAGTTAACTGTAAGTTTTGAATTTAATTAATACGATTACGTAATCGGATATGTAAAATGTGAATGATTATTCTCTTAGATCTAAATAAATAATAAAATACCAAAAAAATAGGATAATTTCTTGGACGGGACGAGTACCTGCGACTGTTATGAATATCCCAATAACCCGTTATGTATAAATGAGTACACAAGAATTCTGGATTCTTCTGTAAGATGAGTAACACTTTATGTTAACACTTTCAAGTTTTCTTTTTTAGTCGATCAAGCTTTAACTTATGTTCATTGTAAACTGCATGAAAATTACTTTTATTCATATGCTTAACTGATTTTTCTTTTGCCGAAAACGTTTCCTTAACTTATAATTACTAATTTTTTTCCTCCATATAGTCATGTAATGTAATGACTGTATCTACTATTTTTAGGCTTTTATTACTACTCATCCGCTGAATTTATTCTTTCAAATCACTTAAATATTTGGCTTCTAGAAGATGATGAACATTTTAATTTCTGGATTGTGGGGATTGTTGAATTTCATTGGGGTCATCAACCGATCAATGGTAGATCACCATTGAGAACCTAGAAGCACTGGACGGCGAATTTGTCCGAATATGGGACTCCTCAGCAGTGCACGTCTACAACACCACACATGGAATTTGGATTTATGACTAGTGGCCAAAAGGTTTATTGTCCGCGCGAAACTGAAGGTCCTAGGTTCGAATCCTGCTAACGGGATCGTGGATGCGCACTGTTGAGGAGTCCCATACTATGACGAATTCGCCGTCCAGTGCTTCGAGATTTGCAATGGTGGTTTAACACTGGTTGGTTTATGATTTTAGTGAAAATGAACATTTATCAGTGGTTATTACTTCATTAGAAATTTTTCGGTAATGCGCATTCTCAAATATTTCTATGTTAGAACACATGAACTTTAGGTCAAATGGTGAATCATGTGTTTTCATATTCGTTTCTTCCGATTTTGCTGTTAGAATTCCCATTTTATTTTGCTTTACACAATTTGTTACTTATGAGTAGTATGCTTTAATGGTGTAAAATACTTTATCGGCCATCACAGACGCTTCTTATTAAGTATATTCAAGTCAAAGATCATGTAAGATTCTTAAACAGATCCTCACCAACGTAAATATTGTAAAACTACAAATAATTATCCATTAATATGTAAGGGCTTTTATGTATCCTCTCTAGGTTTGGATACCATTTTAGGTTTAGTACTTTTCATATGAAGTGTGAATTAAACGACTTAAGATAGAATAAACTATTATTTGTCGTGGATTACTATGAACCACGACATTTTGCCGTATAAATGCCTTATTGAAATATTTCATGCCGAAAGCTCATAACCCTTGACAAACTTATCTTTACTGGGTGGTCGGACTATTTATTTGGTAACGTTTACTGTTATACGAATAACGCTCACTACGTATACGTATTTTTTGTTACCCAGAGTGACCAAGTTTGTCTTAGGATGGGTGCTTATCTATGGCTCAACGAATCATAACTTGTGTGCTTCAATCTTACTCTAATAATCTTCTCTACCGTACACATTATCATTACGTAGATGCGTTGTTGAGTTTTAAAAACCTGTCTTATGGATTAGAAATAGCTCAAATAAACCATAAAACTTCGATTTTAATCTAACATTCCTAAATATTATACTTTCATATCTGTTTTCTCTGCCTGTAAAAATGACTTCTCAGAAGTACGGACAACGTCGTAAAGAATCTCGTTTGTGTACAACATGTAAAACAATGAACCCTACTGACGCAAAAAGTTGTATAATATGTGAAGCTAGATTAGCAACAGGGGCAACTAATGTCATTATTTCGGGTTTCCAGTCGACATATGATTCTCGCCCTCCCATCCCCTATCCAGAAATGTGTAAAAATGTACGTTTTTCTACTTGTGTTTATTGTCATCGTGAAAATAATCTTGATGCTCGATATTGTGACTGGTGTGGTTCAGAAGTACCAAAACACTATCAACAATCACTGAATAGTGGTGAACTGAAATCTTCTGATAATACTAATGGTAACAGACAGTTATTTAACTCAAATTCTTCAGATTCGATTCGAGATATATCATCTGCTGGTTTTCATAACTCTCCAAAAGATAATCAAAATAAAATCACTCTACGAGATGGTTTTATTCATTGTATAAAGTGCGATTTACCGAATCCAAAAGAAGCAAATTATTGTTCTTATTGTGGATTAAACTTGATGCCTCCTCCACGTTGTACTGGGTGGTTTCCAATAGTTAATGGATCAAGTGAGTAAATTTACTTATATGTATAAGTAGCATTTTAATGCTTGTTTCATGCCATAATCTGAACTACTTTATTCACGTCATAAAAGTTAACTTGCTTCGCAGAAGATTATCACTCTATATAACAGATAAAGGGTTCTAAGATAAGTTTGTATCTAATCTATAGAATTTTTTTTCTGATGATAAATAATTAATTTAAATATGTTAGAGAGGGATACATAACTCATTTTCCTGGGGGACCTCTAACAGTTCTGTTGGTTCTTTATCTTGCTGTTTTTTTCAATATCTGAGCTTGTTTATTATATCGCGATCCCTCTCACATTGCCTCAGTGAATGGCTACATAAAATACTTTGTGGAAAAAGATCGATCTGACTCCACTTTTTGGCATATCAGAGCATCTGCAGACTGGAAAAATTAGATGCCTCAAAATAACATGTTTGTAAGGAATGTTCTATAATTTAGCATTATTAAAATATTACGAAAGGTATCCTTTAATTAATACTCATATCACTTTTTTCTGAACTCAATACTATCAAGGAGATCGGACTATTATATAATGCTTTCGTGTATCACTCGATTATTATAAATGCTTACTAGTGGAATTTTAATTTATACATTTTTGTGGTTCGAAAAAACTTCTGCTACATCTTAAATAATCAAGTCAAATCAATAATTGGATCAATAAAACATTGTTAATAAGATGCATAAATATGAATGAAAAACTGAAATATTGTGAGTATTTGGTTGACAATCAGAGTTTGTCAAATCTGAAGACGACTCTCTTATCTTCAATATGAGAACGCCTGTCTTCTGATTAAGGGCGTTCATGAACTTTTTATTTAAAGTTCATTGTGCGTTGATCATATCAGCTACCTGAATTCCTAGTTGGATACTTTTTTGGTCACTCATTTCTTAATTTAGCTTATATTCCTAATATAGTGAGTTTGTGATTTCTGATGATTTGATTAATTCACGATAATTTCTCTATAATGTTTTGTCCAACTGAAAATACTTAACTGATAAATTTTAGCTTGGTAATTTAAAATGTGATATATTCAACGAATCTTGATAATTTGAAGTAATGTTATGTAACAGAATATAAATAGATACTCCAAGTGATTTCTGCATTAAGGTAACGTGTAGTTACCCAATATTTTTTCGACATACTAATACGTATGTTGAGGTTTTTTATTATTATTATTTCTAAAAACACTCAGTATTTTATTATTTGAATTACTAAATTTTAGGTCGCCATGAATTTGAGATTGACGGAAATCAATCTGAAAAGTCGGTTTCACAGCACAAGTACTTACAACCTGTAGTCGCAAACGTTTCTACTCAAACTTATGGGATATTTTATCCAAGTTCAACAGAATTACGACGTCAAGATCAGTTAGCTCAACATCGTTTGTCAGCTGATGTTCAACTGAGAGACAGAATACCTACACTTACTGCAATAAGTCCTGGAAGAGGTGAGCTTTGTATTTTCAACAGTGTAAACTTTGTTAAATGTGGTAAGTTTACTTTTGATCTTGACAGTGGTAATAGCAATAGTGTATGTTCCAGATAGAGCTGGCATATGGTAGTTTGTATGAGATAGTCACACACTAAGGATACTTTTCGTTTTCATGTGCTAAATTTCGAGGCCAGTACAAAGTAAACCTTGTGTAGCCTTATATCTGTCACTCTTTTATCTGCGGAATCCTCAACCGTGATGACGGAGTCAATATGCAATTTCTAGTTTTTTTTTATTACAACAGTCTGGCTTGAGCGGAAACTCAGTCTTCGGTTTCAATTACCCCTTACCTCAGTTTTCAATTATAACGGAATTCCTATTGTTCTTTTAAGTCACTGTTGCTACAGATTAGTGTAAAAATGTCGATATCAATGGCAGAAAAAATTCCGCTTCCATTTAGTAAAGATGCATCCAAAAGATCTCACTTACTGATCGTTGAATTGTTATTCATCCTTGTCATATCTGCTTCTATCACCCGGCGTAATGTGTTATTTGGCATTCCTCCTTTCCACTTCCCCTCCGGAAACCAAGTTAGTGCTTGCCTCGTCATGCAGTTTGGTGATTTCCTCAATGTATGTCCGATCCACCTACAGTGTCATTTCCTCGTTTCCTCTTCAGCTGAATTCTGGTTTGTTCTCTGTCACAGTAGGTCGTTGCTGATATTATCCGACCTACGGATATTGAGTACCTTGCGTAGACAATTGTTTATAAATACTTGTACCTTCTTGACGATGGTTGTAGTAGTTCTCTATGTTTCAGCTCCGTACAGTAGAACTGTCTTGACGTTCGCATTGAAGATTCTCACTTTGAAGTTAGTTGACAGTTGTTTCGAGTTTCACATGTTCTTCAACTGTAAGAATGCTGACCTTGCTTTACCAATCGTTGTCTTAACATCTGCATCAGATCCTCCTTGTTCATCAATGATGCTTCCCATGTACGTGAGTGTTTCTACATCTTCCAGAGTTTCTCCATCAAGTGTGATTGGGTTGGTCGGTGTTATCCGTGTTGTATTTGAGGATCTTGTTTTCTTCCTTTTGTACGTTGAGACCTACTGTTTAAGAGTCAGTTGTTACACTGGTCGTCTTCACCTGGATTTGTTGGTGTGTATTGGTAGAAGGACTAGGTCATCTATGAAATCCAAATCGTCTAGTTGCATTTAAGCTGTCCATTGTGCGCCGCGCTTCCCATCAGATATGAAGGTTTTCATAATTCAGCCAATCACCAGAAGAAAGAGAAGTGGTGAAAGTAAGAAGCCTTGTCTAACACCGGCCCTCACTCAGTGTTTGGCTTGTCTTCTTTGTCCTTGACTGGTCTCTCTGGTTCACTATATTTTCCTGCCAGTTTCTTCGTCGAGTCATACAGTTGTTTCATATTCCGTTATCTTGCAGATTTTTCCGCTGTCGTTACTATGTCTTCCATGAATTTCTGTCTGTCGGCTCTGATACTCTTCTTTACTTGCTTGTTTGCTTCAGTGTATTCACTTTCTGTCTTGACTTTCTCAGTCCTTGTTCGACTGTTGTTAATTGCTGTCTTCTTGTTCTTTCTTTCTTTCTTTCTTCAATCTTGTCCAGGGTACCTATAGAGATCCATCCCTTATGATGATGCTTGTTTCGGTCCAACACTTCCTGACACGTTGAAGTTAGTGCTTCTTTGATCCTTTTCCAGTTGTTTTCCACTGTAGTTTCTTGTTCTTTCAGTAGATCCTGTAAAGCCTGGAACCTGTTGTTGAGAGTTATCTTGAATTGGTTGAGTTTCTTAGTATCTTGAAAGAAGGCTATATTGAACTTTTGTAATGCTGTTTGTCCAGTTGTCCAATGCTTATCTAGCTTCAGTTTGATCTTTGCAACCACTAGATGGTGATCTGAAACGATGTCAACTGTGCTCCTGATTCTCACGTCTTCCATTGACCTTGTGGATTTTTTAGTGATGCAAATATGATCTATCTGGTTCTCTGTGTTGTGGTCCGGCGAGATTCATGTAGCTTTGTGTATGTGTGTGTGTGGAAGTATTGTGCCGCCTATAACCAATTTGTTGAATGCACATAGATTTGCAAATCTCTCCCCATTTTCATTTCTCTCTCCTAGTCCATGTCGTCCAATTATATCTTAATATCCTGTGTTGTCTACTTCGACTTAAGCATTTAGATCTTCCATCAGGATGGTGAAGTCCTTTCCTGAACACTTTGCTGTTTGATTGCTCTGGTTGTTAGAAGGTGCATTGGCCTCGTGACTTCCGAAGGATCTCAGCTTTCACCATGAGGCGTCATAATTTTTCCTTCAACTCCCAGGACAGAGTTTAAATGTTTTAGATTGTTTATTCTGATTGGCGTATTTTTAGCAAGGTGTTTTTCTGTGGGATGGGGTTGCTGACTTCATGCCCAATCCTCCGCGTTTACCTGGGCTTGAGACTGGCAGTAACTCTAAAAGAGCTACAGAAGGAGTTATTGGATAACACGAAGCTCAATTAAATAGAAATGATGAGTGAAATTACTGTTAGTTACGTATTGCGTTATTTTTACACTCATCAAGATGACGATGATTTTCACTGTCATTTAAACCATGTGTAGCATATCAGAATTATTCTGATCAGTTCGTTACTAGTTCAAATGGTCATGAACAGTAAATGTACATGACGTGGTTTTTTAGTCGTTATAGTATTCGATGATAATTTTTTATCACAAATGGACATCAGCCAAAGACTTATTGAAAGCTGGCATCAGTTGCCAAATCCTCAATTCAATCCCATAAGCTCAGATCAAACGGCATTCCAATATTTCATCGGACATATAACGTCGTTCATTAAAAGTCCTCTTTATATTAGATTTGTATGTAGTTTCTGTAATTTGCTATCACTTAAATCTTCATAGATAATCAATAAATATCTAAATAATATTTTACCATATAATCTTGGACTTTTTGAGTTATTTTTTACTGTTTCGTCAACTAAACTGTACGCATGCTCGTATTTCTTGGATTATCGATCAAATTACGCAATGGATATTTTACATCGTTTCTGAACAAGTAAAGTTTGTTTTGATGAATTAGCACTGCTCATTATTATAGATATTAATTTTTACTATCAATATTTTTTTGCAAAACTTAATTCTACAGGTTTTTGGCGAAAACAATTAGACCATATATTTGCACATTTAAAGTTATATACAAATAATAATTCAGAATTTCGCGCTTCTATTGCTCAACCTAGATTTGGCAAAGTATGTTCAACTTGATTACATGTACTCAGCTAATTTATTTAAACTTATTTATAATCTAATATGCAATCCATTATTGAGTACGTTTTCATTTCGGTAAACCTTTTTCGACACTTAATAAAACTATTCTAGCCACCATTATAGAGGTGGTCCTACAATAAGCATATAAATAGCTTCATCAATTGTTCATACTTTATCATGCACTGAAGTTTCGTTTCTGCCTTTAGAATAAAATTGTTCTTCTGTAGCCTACTTGAAGGTATATGTGGATGGGTGAAATAATGGTTAGATCTTCATGTTTAAATTGTTTAGTTATAAAGAAACAAATCATATTGGAAGTAATTTATTCACCAACAGATTATGACGATAATTAAATCGCTTCGAAACTTCTTTCATTGTAATTATTCATAATCTTATTGGAATCCATTAATCAAGCAACACTAATTCAATAGGATTTAATCATTCTGTGTAGTCGATTATATGTTTTTCTGAGATATATGTATTCCTTAACTGTTGAGCATGCAATGCAAATACACAGAGCTGTCCTGAACATTTTATTATTCTACGCATTGTCATCCTCTTCCTCCGACTTTCACTTAGTGTGTGTTCATGAACGTATATCAGATATCAACGTTATACTACTTATATTTTGACTGTCTTGAATTTTTATTCTAGTTCTTCACAACTGCAAAAGAGAATGACATACTTTACTTATTATTTGATTTGTTCGGTTTATGTGTGAATTACTCTCTCTTGTCGTTCTATTCCTTCTAATCATTTTTTTAATAATTGTTCTTAGCGATCATAGGTCTTTATCATACATTCATTGAATCTCCCTAGTGAGAATTATTAATGTTGTAATTTCATTGTTTGAATAATATTTGTAATCATAATCTAAGATTTCGGATAGGATTTAAAGCGAGCTTTTTTATTATTTGAATTTCGATTACAGTAAAGAACTGATTGTTAACATTGAAGTCTTGAGACTTTCTTATTTTTCACATTTCATCTTATTTCCAAAACTCAAAAATTAATTAAACCAAACCAATATATTCTTTTCTAACTAGTTATTAGTTTTCCATGTAATTATTTAAAATTAGCTTGTGCGTTACTTTCAATTTCTCTTTATGCGACTATTCTGTCACCATGTATTTACAAAGATATGTTCGCATCGTCCACATTATACATATTCTTATTGCGAATATAGTCTTTCAAAAAGAATTATATATATTTGATATAAAATTAAATTACGGATCAGTATATTTATTGCAACTTTCCCCTGAGACTCTCCTATAGTAACTGCCGGTCCCAAGCACAGTAAACGAGGAGGATTAGGCATGAAGTCAGCAACCCCATCCCACAGAAAAACACCTTGCTAAAAATACGCCAATCAGAATAAACAATCTAAAACATTTAAACTCTGTCCTGGGAGTTGAAGGAAAAATTATGACGCCTCATGGTGAAAGCTGAGATCCTTCGGAAGTCACGAGGCCAATGCACCTTCTAACAACCAGAGCAATCAAACAGCAAAGTGTTCAGGAAAGGACTTCACCATCCTGATGGAAGATCTAAATGCTTAAGTCGAAGTAGACAACACAGGATATTAAGATATAATTGGACGGCATGGACTAGGAGAGAGAAATGAAAATGGGGAGAGATTTGCAAATCTATGTGCATTCAACAAATTGGTTATAGGCGGCACAATACTTCCACACACACACATACACAAAGCTACATGAATCTCGCCGGACCACAACACAGAGAACCAGATAGATCATATTTGCATCACTAAAAAATCCACAAGGTCAATGGAAGACGTGAGAATCAGGAGCACAGTTGACATCGTTTCAGATCACCATCTAGTGGTTGCAAAGATCAAACTGAAGCTAGATAAGCATTGGACAACTGGACAAACAGCATTACAAAAGTTCAATATAGCCTTCTTTCAAGATACTAAGAAACTCAACCAATTCAAGATAACTCTCAACAACAGGTTCCAGGCTTTACAGGATCTACTGAAAGAACAAGAAACTACAGTGGAAAACAACTGGAAAAGGATCAAAGAAGCACTAACTTCAACGTGTCAGGAAGTGTTGGACCGAAACAAGCATCATCATAAGGGATGGATCTCTATAGGTACCCTGGACAAGATTGAAGAAAGAAAGAAAGAAAGAACAAGAAGACAGCAATTAACAACAGTCGAACAAGGACTGAGAAAGTCAAGACAGAAAGTGAATACACTGAAGCAAACAAGCAAGTAAAGAAGAGTATCAGAGCCGACAGACAGAAATTCATGGGAGACATAGTAACGACAGCGGAAAAATCTGCAAGATAACGGAATATGAAACAACTGTATGACTCGACGAAGAAACTGGCAGGAAAATATAGTGAACCAGAGAGACCAGTCAAGGACAAAGAAGACAAGCCAAACACTGAGTGAGGGCCGGTGTTAGACAAGGCTTCTTACTTTCACCACTTCTCTTTCTTCTGGTGATTGGCTGAATTATGAAAACCTTCATATCTGATGGGAAGCGCGGCGCACAATGGACAGCTTAAATGCAACTAGACGATTTGGATTTCATAGATGACCTAGTCCTTCTACCAATACACACCAACAAATCCAGGTGAAGACGACCAGTGTAACAACTGACTCTTAAACAGTAGGTCTCAACGTACAAAAGGAAGAAAACAAGATCCTCAAATACAACACGGATAACACCGACCAACCCAATCACACTTGATGGAGAAACTCTGGAAGATGTAGAAACACTCACGTACATGGGAAGCATCATTGATGAACAAGGAGGATCTGATGCAGATGTTAAGACAACGATTGGTAAAGCAAGGTCAGCATTCTTACAGTTGAAGAACATGTGAAACTCGAAACAACTGTCAACTAACTTCAAAGTGAGAATCTTCAATGCGAACGTCAAGACAGTTCTACTGTACGGAGCTGAAACATAGAGAACTACTACAACCATCGTCAAGAAGGTACAAGTATTTATAAACAATTGTCTACGCAAGGTACTCAATATCCGTAGGTCGGATAATATCAGCAACGACCTACTGTGACAGAGAACAAACCAGAATTCAGCTGAAGAGGAAACGAGGAAATGACACTGTAGGTGGATCGGACATACATTGAGGAAATCACCAAACTGCATGACGAGGCAAGCAGTAACTTGGAATTTTGAAAGGAAATTTAAGAGGAAGACCAGGGAACACACTGTGTCGAGAATCGGAAGTAAACACCATAAGATCGAATAGCAACTGATAAGGATATTAGAGGACAGCGTTGAATGGAGAAGGCTGGTCAGCGACCTATGCTCCTCCATGATGAGTATCAGGTGTCTGTAAAACTGAATGTATGCATATTTATTGCACCACCACGTCTTCTATCATACTGTCTTCAAATACAACATTTACATGTTTAGTTGTTTGTAGATCACGTGAAATTGATTAGTCAATTATTTTAATAAAAAATGATTGATACAATGAAAAATTAATAAGTAAAATAAATGCTCTTAGCCTACTGTTTATAGTTACTCCGTATGCAGACATTTCAAAAGAATATTATTGAATTGGATTCTTTTTGAAAAAAACTTAACTTCACATGGTTTTGTTATTGTTAAAATTAATATTTGAATTGTTTAGTGTGAATTCACATTCTCTTGATAATGCTTACGTTCATTGTTTATTGGTTTAGAAAAGACCATTGATTATGTGATCTCTAACATACACATCATATTCCATTTTTATCTAGTGATTACCTCATAGTTAAATTAAATTAGTTTGTCGTTCATACATAATGTAGAATATGACACAAATATATATTCATTCTGATTTACATATTTTACTTCAGCAAGGTGATGCAGTATATTTATCGGTTGCATATCAGTGTATGTAGAAATTACCATTTCATTTGTAGTGAAAATATAATTTGAAAAGAAACGAATGATGTTTAAAACTTTAAAGTATGGAAGAGCAGCAAACGAAAGTTGGAGTGAAAAATAAAACTAGTATTCAACTTCTCTACCGTTGCCAATTATGGACTATAATACCTTACATCTTCAAGATAAGATCATAACTATTGTATCAACTCTATTCAGTGATTTATTGTCTTATCAGTATCAAACTAGCAGTGAATGACTTCATGAGATAATAAATTATATATATTCAATACAAATTTAAATAGTGTACTACATGAGTTTGATCGAGAAGTGTTTTAATAACTCAATGTTTCTGTTATTATACAAATTTTATTGAACAAGAATTAACTTCTAAATGATGAAAGATATAGTTACGCTAAAGCTTGAAACCTCATCGTATAGAAGTGTACTAATTATCCATCTTTTATTGATCATTATTAATTTTGTTGTCTAAAGAATGGTAATTATATTTTAGCCATTTGTTCTAAGTTACTTCCGTAAATATATTCTTTGAACTAATTTTTTTTTAAATCATTTAAACTACAAAAATGAATGATTTTATTTTTTATAAAAAAAATAATTCAAATTACTTTAGTGATGTCCGCATATAATTTTATTTTTTGGTACCGTAAAATTTCCTGTTATGAAACTCAGGATTTTCAATTTTTGTTCAGTGACGTGATAAATTTTTTTTAAATCATAAAGTAACTTTAATGTCCAATTAGTATCAGGGTGAAACAATCATTGATAATTATTTCGTCTTGAGTAATTGTTATTGTCTGTCAATTTATGATTGATTATCAATTAATTTGAGAACATTCTATTTCATACACAAGTGAATAATCATTGTTACTTTAGAATTGTATTTTCTTTCATAATTACTCATTTGCTGATTAGTTAAATGACACTTTAATTGTAATACTTTAGCTGATTATTTTATAATAATGATAATTTGTTGTATTTGTCTACTTTAAACAATCCCTGTATGGGACTCCCCAGCAATGCGCATCCACAACCCTACCAGGGATCAAACGCAGAACCGTCTGATCTCGCCAAGCCTTTAACCTTTTAGCCAGTACACCGGCAAACAGTAGTTCATATGCATGACATCAACCGATTTGAAATATTACCTAATCATCTTCCATTGTTTCAAAGAATATCTGCCTCAATTCTGACACAGCTGAACTTTTCTGGTCACAGCTTCTCACAAGAACTCCTAAAATCATCTCTTAAAATTAATCACAAATGTAAACGTCATAATTTTCAGAATAGAGAGGGTTAATAAATATTATTGAAATCATCAGTTTATTACAGTTAAAAATGTATAATATGGGACACTTGCTCACTTATTTAAACGTTAAGTACTCGTCATGATACTTAAAGGTCTTGGCTTTAATCCTAGGTGTGATCGTGATTGCATACTATTGAGTCCTATACTGGGACTGTGTCAATGCTTCCAGATTTTAATGGTTAGTTGACATTTGTCAGTTCGTTATCATAATGACACTCAAAAATCCAAAGTCCCCATTCTATAAATTGTCATCTTAGACTTTCTTCATTACAAAGTCATTTAACACGTACAAATAATTCCCAGCATATTCTTAGAAATTTGTGTTAATTAGTTAAGACGTTAGTTTTCAAATATATATATTGTCTTTCTGCTTTCTTACTATAAGTATTATTATTAATTCTGATAATTTTTGTACCAAGCTTTTGTCTGCTGATCTATATGCACTGGCATCCAATCAGGCAAAAATTACTTTAATCTATTCGCTCCCGAATGACAAAAACAATACATCTATAACATTGAATAGGACAGGTTCAAGTAAAATTCCATTGGATTTAGACTACTGTGATAATCATAATAATGACGTGATTCCTCACTTCAATAAATACTCGAATCAAATTAAACCAAACTCTGGTGATTTCAATAATGATAAACATGAAATTGATTTAGATCAGAAATCAGTTGACAGTAAATCAAATAATAAAGAGTCTATCAATTTGTTTACGACAAGGAATGATCATTGTGAATCGTTCCGACCGATCCCAAATCCACGAAGTGTATATAATAACAATAATAACCGATCGCCTTCTAGATCTCCACGTAAAGGTAAGTGTATACATTAGAAAGAATTTAATATAAACGATACTTATTTTATGGATATATTACTTACCTACTTACGCCTGTTACTCCCAATGGAGCATAGGCCGCCGACCAGCTTTCTCCAACTCACTCTGTCTTGGGCCTTCCTTTCTAGTTCTATCCACTTTATGTTCATTATTCTCATGTTTGTCTCTATTTCTCGGCGTGATGTGTCCTTTGACCTTCAGGATTCCATGTGAGAGCTTGTCTTGTGACGCAATTGGGTGATTTCCTCAAAGTGTGCCCAATCCACTTCCAGCGCTTCTTCTTGATTTCTTCCTCCGCTGAAATCTGGTTTGTTCTCTCCCACAGTAACTTGTTGCTGAAAGTGTGTGGCCATCGGATCCGAAGTATCTTGCGTAGACAACTGTTAATAAACACCTGTATCTTCTCGATAATTTCTTTCGTAGTTCTCCACGTCTCCGCCCCATACAGTAGAACTGTCTTGACATTTGTATTGAAAATTCTAACCTTGGTTTTGGTTGACAATTGTTTTGAGTTCTAGATGCTTTTCAGTTGTAAATATGCTGCTCTTGCTTTTCCGATCCTCGCCCTCACATCTGCATCTGATCCACCGTGTTCATCAATGATGCTGCACAGATATGTAAAGGTTTCCACATCCTCCCAAGCTTCTCCGTCAAGTGTAATTTGATTGGTGCCGCCTGTAGCTCCTCTGGGGGCTACTACCGATCCCAAGCCCGGATAAAGGAGGAGTGTTGGGCATGGGGTTAGCGACTTCATCCCGTAGAAAACCAACTCGCTAAGAAAATGCTAACCAGAAAAAAAATTATTAAAACCATTTTATGGATATATGCAATATACATTATCAATTGTGATCATAGTTGTGCCAAATTCGATCAATTAGAAAGCGGTTCGGAATGTTTACTTTATTGCCATTTACTTAGCGAACAGACAAATCATACAATATTTGTTGATATCTCAGCGTTGCATTCATAACTAATCGTCATACCTCAAGAAACCTAAATTTTTAAGACTTTTAAAAGTTCATAGAAAATGACTAAGTAGTCAAGAAACAATTTGTTCAAAAATCACCTATTACTAAAGAAGAACAATTTTATAATAGTCAATTATAAGGATTTTTAAATGTTTCTACGATGTGTATAGCATATAAGTTAACTTACTATAAATCTTTGTCATATTTTATCTATAAAGATTTAGTTCGTTTGTTCAGCTAAGTTAAAGTTCGCTTAACTTATACATTTTTACCTAATACTTTCCTTGAAGTACAATAGGGACTGGTGTAGGAATATGTTGTAAGAAAGTTAAGTTGTAAACTTAGACTTGAGATCAGTTCACGAAGTCGTCTATTTCTGGACTGAGCCATGTAGGAAAGCACTGACTTCCTGGTTGGTTTCCACGCGTTAATTCTGATCAGTGGTTGGAGACCTTTGATGACATACTTTCAAAATTGTTCTTAACAGCTTACGTACATTCTTATTTTTATATTTCTGTTAATATTAAATTTCAGTAGTATTTTAAACTTTAAGTATATGTACATCTGTGCCAGACTCCACATTTTTTGAGTGACTGACTGACTAACTAACTTATAGTCCATGCAATCATGCACATTAAATATCTTATTAAAACCTGTTATACTTTAAACATTTTTAGAAATGTATGCCCTTCTTTGATTTATTTTTTTATTACATAGAGGATGACCATCAAAATCAAAACAAAACTAGGTCAATTGAATGGGAAGATGGTGATGGTGATGAGGTTGATGCGGAATGTAGACAAAACACACAACTTCCTACAAAATCAATAAGTTCCATAAAAACAAAATCAAATGATAAATCACTGAGTATACAATCTAATCCTAACGTACAATATGGTGAAGTTGGTGTCGCTTTACTACGAAATTCCAAATTATCAGTGTGTCGCATTTTCTTTTTGCTTAAAATTTTACAATTTCTTGATAATTATTATCTTCGTGGTTATTTACTTGGTATTTTATTAGTTAGCGGGTCTTTCCTTTACAAACGACTGCAATTAAGGAAGTATACATTATCGTAAGTGAGCTTCGGGTCGGATGTTAATTTTATTTCATAATTCAACATATACGAGAATTGTGAATTGGACTATATAGTCTGAATAAACAAAAGACAGTCATTAATTAATACACGAAAACAAATTGATTCGATCGCTTAACCACTACACTTTTAATCTATTAGTAAAATTAGCATCTTATTTCTTCTCTGTTACTATACTTACTAAATTATCGTTACGAACAATTATACTATCAGCTTTCGTCGCAAAAACGTTCAGTATATTTTTGCATTGGGAATGATTTCTCTAAAAACATAACGTTTTGCTGAACCAATCCTTCTTGTTTTACAGTCAAACTGCTAGTGTTCCGAGATGCGTTTTCTCTAGCTGGCTTACCATTCTGCGATGTGTTAAGAACAAAATTCCGCTTTGGACCACATCAATGTGTATCTAAAATTACTTCCTCACGTGGGGCACGTTGCATAGGCCGATCAAGGCGTTCACTTTCGAAACGCATCTCGGAACATTATCCAACCTGGTTTTTAAAAGGAGAATGTAAAAAAATTGCTAGTTCGATACAGGAGCATTTAATTAACTGTGGGCACATCGCTCCAAAGAACTCTTCTTTTAAAGTAATCTACAGAGTCGAAGGGGGGGACGAATCAATATTTTATGCACTACTGAGGCATTTTAACAATCCATGAATTCAAGCCTGAACTTTGCGTGCACAAACGATTTGTCCAACCTTTCATCCTTCCTTGGCCCTAATTCCCTTAATGGGTATGTTTCTGGGTTTTTTTTCTGCCTGTTTTTCTGCACTTTCGTTTGATAATTATCGAGTTTTTTTAATTACCGTCTTGCATTTTAAACTCTAATCAGTTATTATTACTACTTTATACTAGTTTCCTTTATTATTATGTCTATTATTATGACCTTTGTGTTTGTCGCTTTTCTTCATATCTGTCAATTAGACTATTTCGATAATGTAATAAGAAGACGAAGATTATCAGAACTATGTGATATATTAGCGCAATACATTTCGAACAATCTGATCACACATATACTTGTTAAGAACATTTATATATAAAAATAAAAGGTCAACTAGACTGGTAATAAGGTTAAGAAATAGACAAGGATAATAATGATAAAATAATGTGAAAACAACTTGACACCTAATCACTCTGGATAATAAGCATTTATTACCAGGGTAGGTTTAAAGAGAGAACAAACTGTTTTTGAATACACAAAGGGGGTTTGAATTTTCGTATGGCTAAGGCTTCAATAAACCTCACAAATGTACCTTTAAAAAAGACTATTGACATTTTATGTGACTATATATTTTCAAACAACCTTAATTTACCTATTCCCTTAAAAATTCTTAAAGAGTTATTACTTTTATGTACTGATAAAGTTCAGTTCAATTTTGAAGGCGAATACTTTCGCCAGATTGATGGGGTCGCTATGGGTAGTCCGTTAGGGCCATTACTAGCAGATGTGTTTGTGGCACATGTGGAAAATTTATCTGAAGACTTAATTGAAAACATGTCACTTTATAAGAGATATGTGGACGATATCTTAGTAATTGGCGAAAGAATGGAAGACATAAACTGCCTATTGAATAAATTTAACACTATCCAAAACCATATCAGTCTTTCATGCGAAGAGGAGAAGAACGACCAACTCCCCTTCCTAGATGTACTTCTAAGCAGACGAGAAGATTGCTCAATAAAACGATCCATTTTTCGAAAACCGACGTGGACGTGTCAATATCTTAGTTACTATAGTTATTGCCCTGTGCAATACAAACGTGGTTTGGTAAAGTGCCTTTTTAACAGGCTTCGTCGTATTTGCATAAACGACGCTATTGATGACTATGTTAAGTTTTAACCATGGCATTAATCGGGAATGGTTATCCACCTAAATTTATCAATAGATGGAAAGTTATGGGCACAGCGAGACCTGCTGTAGCCTTGGTAGAGAAAAAGCCTGTTTACATCACCTTACCATTTAGAGGTGATTCAAATAGCCTTTTACTGAAACAAAGGCTTAAATCAGTCATCAACAAAACATATTGTGCAGCAAAGGTCATGATCAAAGAAAGAACAAGGTCCATGCTTCATTCAAAGCCTAGACGACATGAAAACGATTGTGTCACATCCCACTGCGTTTACCAATTTAAATGTGTGTGTGGTCACACATACATAGGGTGGAGCAATCGTGATCTGAAAATTAGGGTGGGTGAACATGTACCAAAATGGTTGCTAAAACAAATACAGTCGAATGACCCAATAAGAGTAGAGGATAAACATCCATCATCTTCTGTAGCTAAGCCTGTAATCGAAACAGGTCATCTCTGCTTACCAGGTCATAAGATTGATCTTAACTCAGCTTTTGTTGTGTTGTTTAAAAGTGTAAAAGGGCGTATACTGAGGTTTATTGAAGCCTTAGCCATACGAAAATTCAAACCCCCTTTGTGTATTCAAAAACAGTTTGTTCTCTCTTTAAACCTACCCTGGTAATAAATGCTTATTATCCAGAGTGATTAGGTGTCAAGTTGTTTTCACATTATTTTATCATTATTATCCTTGTCTATTTCTTAACCTTATTACCAGTCTAGTTGACCTTTTATTTTTATATATAAATGTTCTTAACAAGTATATGTGTGATCAGATTGTTCGAAATGTATTGCGCTAATATATCACATAGTTCTGATAATCTTCGTCTTCTTATTACATTATCGAAATTTATCAAAGGGACTAATTGCTTTAAATTGGACTATTATCTGACCCATGATTTATTTTCTTCCTTACCCCTTGATTAGTACGTAACCTCATTTGTTATTTATTCTCGAATCAATTTATGATGCAGTCTTTCCTAGCCTCCTATAGACATATATTTTCCATATAACTATATATACGAATGTACAGCCTAAGTAAATGATTTCGTTGAAAGAAAAAGAATTTTTATTACGTTACTGCCATAATATGCTTTATTATATTGTTGTTCAGATACAGAAAACAAGTTTCACAGTCTACTGTTTGACATCTTTAAAAGGCAATGAAAATTTCCATTTTCTTAGTAAATTTTTAATTTATTCTCTTGTATAGTCTATTTAATACTGGCAAGTAAAGAAGGCTTCAAGACAATCTAACCTGATTTTATGTATTAAAGCCAGCGACCTTGACATTAACAACAATGTACTAGTGTAAATTCAAATGTAAATCAAGCTGCTTTTGTCAAGTTCATTTACTATCTTGGTTTTAACGGCTATCTGTTGACGCAGTAACTAAAAACAGATCACTGATTTCCATCAAGAGACCAATCATCAACAGGACACCAATGTTCATCTCTAGTTGACGTACATTTGCAATAAAAAATAGGGATAACTTATTGCGTTTTATCCCTTCTTCTATACAATTAATATATTTTTCAAAAATACTTTGCTGTTTAATATTTCTTATACCTCGTCTCTGTTTATAGACTTCAGATCTTAATTTGTTCTACACGTTAAGTCAACCGAGATTAGATATTCATGAAGTTAAACGTCTTCTTAATGAAGTGAGTATTTTATTTACAATATATAATATCAATTTAATTTAAAATGAGATTTATCATTGATAATTCACAAATTATAACAATAAAAAATGTAATATCCAATGTTCCAAGTGATGATGTAGATATTTATGTTCCATGTTTTTAATAATAAAAAATTACAAACGTTTAACCAATCATTGGTAGTAAATCAACCATTATTTATGCTGGTAGATTTTCATCAATATGATTTAGTCCTATGATGAATAATTTAGTAAGAAAAACAATTAAAATTCACATTGGCACACATTTTAACATAATCAAGTATGTTTTACCTAATCTTTTTCTTAATCTTAAATTAGTGTACGGGTTTTAGGGTTTAAATTTGAGCAGAAACGGACAAGCAACAATGTGTATTCTCTTCATCATTCAATATATTTTGGTTTTAGGGTAATTCTAAAATGTATTGTAACAACTCAGAAATGTCAGTTTATGAATTAGAAGGTTTATATCTTCCTGTCGGTGATATTCAGTAGTGAGTTAGTTATTCTCCGTTGATGTGTAAACATTTTAATAGATCTATGTGATAGACGAAGACTGTCGCTCATTCTGGAGCACATGCTTAGATTCAGATCATGCTCTAGTGCGAGCACGTATCTGTCTGCGTCTTACTGGACGTAGGAAAGACGCTGCAGGGAAACCTCTTAGGGTTCTACTTAATGATAGGCAAGCTAAGAATATATTTCAGAAACAACTAGAAAAACAGTTTGGCAGCCATGTAAGTTGTGCCCACCCCGAGGCAGTGTGGAATGACATCCGAAAAGCTGTGCAAACAGCAGTGATATCTGCTAATACGGTAAACTATAAAGTTAGGGAGAAACACTGGATCTCAGCAGCATCTAACGCACCGATAGATGCTCGAAAACTCATCATATATGGCTCTGAACATAACAAGAAGCGAAGTCAACTTAAGCGCAGGCTAACAAGAAACCTACGCAACGATCGCGAACAGTGGTGGGTAGTGAAAGCAAGAGAGATGTAAAAGGCAGCAGCGATAGGTAACATTAGACAACTGTTCAGACTTGTCAAGGAAATCGGTATTAGGAATTCAACTGTCAGCAAAAATATCCCTGAAAAAGATGGATATATTATTCATTGTCAATCCAAGAGATTAGATCGATGGGTAGAACAATTTAGAGTTCGATTCAACTAGCCTTCAGCCACACTTCGGTTTCCCACGATCCCCAGTCGATCTGAATAGTAAGTTAATGTAAGTCTCCCAACTCTTTACTAAGTTAAAAAAGCTATAGGAAATCTGAAGCGAGGGAGAGCGGCAGGCCCTGACAGGTTTATCCCTGAGGTTTTTAAGGTTGGCGGTTCAGCACTAGTAACAAGATTGACTGAGGTCTTAGGTAGAATCTGGGAACTGGACGTAATTCCATCTGACTAGTCCCAATAACTGATTGTGCCAGTCTATAAGAAAGGACAAAAGTCCTCTTGTGACAATCACAGAGGAATCAGTCTGACTAATATAGTGTCTAAAATATTAGCTTCAATAATATTTCGACGCCTAACTAAAGCTCGTGAAGAGCAAACTAGAGAAAACCAGGCTGGTTTTCGAGCTGGACGTGGTTGTATGGGCCAGATATTCACTCTACGTCAGGTCTTAGAACATAGACATATACATTAACCTCATAAAGGCTCTCTACTCGAACACAAATGGTGGAGTTAGAGCCTATGGCGAACTGTCATCAGAATTGACTTCCTCAAGTGGTGTTCGTCAGTGCTGTCCACTCTTTCCATTCTTATTTAACTTTATCGTAGATGTGCTTTTAGAAATAACACTTTCCCCATCCAAATTCAGAGGAGTTGAAATTCTACCAGGAGACTCACTTGTTGACTTTGAATACGCCGATCACATCATTCTATTTGGTGAAGACTCTGATAAATTGCAGTCTTCTTACTACTATAAGCAACAATGCAGGTATGTTCGGGATGCGATTCTCTCCCTCGAAGTGCAAAATTTTGCTTCAGTATTGGGTTGCATTGGCACCTGAACTAATGATAAGGAGTGAAGTAGTTGAGTGTGTTGACCGCTTCACTTATCTTGGGAGTCTCATCAGCCTTTGTGGTCTGGTGTGTGACGAAATCTCAGCACGGATACAGAAGGCTCGTCAACTTCAGTCATTTATGGTGTACACGAGATATCCGTCTAGCAACCAAAGGACGAGTTTACTGTGCAGCAGTTCGTTCCGTCCTACTTTATGGCAGTGAAACATGGCCGGTAAGAGCAGAGGTTATTCGTAGGTTACTAGTTTTCCATCATAGGTGTCTTCGAAGCATTGCTCGTATATCCTGGGACCACCGGGTAAGTAATGCAGATGTTAGGAAACGGGTACTAGGTAAGGATGGCAAATCGATTGATGAAGTAGTGAAACTTCACCAGTTGAGATGGCTGGGACACGTGTTACGTATGCCCAACCACCGACTGCCCCGACGTGCAATGCTTTATGGTGTGGGAGCAGGTTGGAAGAAAGCTAGGGGTGGCCAGACCAAGACATGGCATAAATCCATGAAGTCACTGACAAGTGGACTGGGCCATGTTGTTAGGTGTAGACTACCTGGTTGGGATTCGCGAGATGATAGCAACCGATGGTTAGAGACGTTGAATGACATGGCTCAAAATCGTTTGCAATGACGAAGGTGCATCCACTCTTTGTGTTCTACCAAATTCTAATCTTCTGAATTCCTCATGTCTTTATATTTTTCTCTTTCCAAATTTATTTCACTGGATTATACTCCTTGAATTACATCTTCAAACCCAAATCTTTCGGACTACTGCTTATACTCCTACTACTTCTACCACTATGGGATTTGAATCGACAACTGTATCTCTGTGCTAATGTGGTATGGCAAGTCGAACTGCTGTACGTACGTACAAAGTTCTACGTTGTGACTGACTGATTGATTGACTAATATGTAATAGATGTTCGTATTTACTAGTTCATCATATTGTGTTTAAAAGTAGAATGCAGGGAGTGCTTCAGGTCTCGTTAACCGATCGTACCTACATCCTACTGTTGATATTTCTCACTCTGACTCCAGTTTCATCTCCAATCACTTCAAATGTAGGTGTCTTATTCTCTAGACTAAATTCATAACTGGTCAAAATGTTATAAAATTGGTCATTCATTTGAGGTTTCTTTTTCTCGTCGTTAATATTTAGAGCTGAGTTTATTATTCTTTGTTGGCAATATCCATATTTATTACATAAACGTTTTCATAATATTTCATCAACGACTGATTTTAGTTTAACAACCATGGTAAACAACGAAGCGCTTGATAGTTGTTTCATCCCGAATATGAGACTCCCTAGTTGTGCACGACCCGACTGGGGATCGAAATTAGGGCTTTTAGGTCTTGTGGCGAGCACTTAACCTTGAGACCATTGACCCAGCACCTAATGTTTTATATATTTAACTTTAGCAATTCACGATATTATGTAATTATTATTGATTGTCCATTTATGAGATTTGTCCCATACACAACATGGTTGAACCTTCAGCTGATCACAGCTTCTCACCAGGACCAAGATAGTTACCTTTAGAATTTAGTCACTAGTAATCATAAGTTGATTCTTCATTGTGATTCTAAATTGAATTACTTAGGTGTAACTTATTTGTCAATTGCAGTTGTATATCCTCAGTTATGATCCAAACATTCTTTATGTGATAGCTTATGATACTGTCATTCAGATGATGAGACGAAATTAGATTTTACTGTCTTCGAACATTTAACCTAATCACTGGAAGTTGATTGATTAAATTACTGATTCTGAATTATATTATTGCCAATATAGAATTTAAGATAAGTTTTAATGATATACTGAAAGTATGTTATGAAATATATGTACAGTCCAAATAAATTATAGTTCTTGAATAGACATTAAGTCTCCGAGCTTAGAAAAAATGTTAGTGAATCTTTCTATAAAGCATCTGTTGTAAGTATACAAATAGTTGTTTTGAATACTTAAATATAAACATGTCTCGTTTTTGCTTATTTTATGAAAAAGAAAGCTGTTGAAATAAAGTTTATTTACAGTAAATATCAGACAACAGAAGCAGTTCTTAGATTTGCTGGTAAGTTGGTCTTTAGGTATTTAGTAAAAGCAGATAACAATCAAAATTATCTGTAAATAGATAAGGATCACAAACAATACCATCAATTTAATCAAGTTGAACTTATCATAGTTTAATGTAATTATTCATATTTTAAACATTAACTTTTACTCGAAGAATGTAAGACAATTATTTTTACTGTTTTCTTTCTTACTGATTTTTTCTGCTAATAATCAACTTGACCGTTTTTTTTATCAGATTGTCCAAAGATGATGTGCTTTTTTTCCGAAAAAGTACATATTTCTCTTTATTTTTAAATTTGTGTTGAGTTTATTTTCGTAGTAAATTAAGCATACGTTTATTTAACTTAAAGCACACGATAAACTCAATATGAAAATATCTTTAATTCACCTACTTTAGGCAAGTAGTCGTTTATTAAGGTACAGTAACTACTTTTAAATCAAATGAATTGATAATAAAACTTAGTGGAAGATAATCAGTTGATTAGAATAACAATTTGAAACTCCTAGTCACTTTGTACTTACGTAAATTTAACGTCCCCTTTTCACCTATTGAAAGAAATTGGATTCAACCTTCGACAAAGTCTGTTATTTGGGAATTTCAGTGTTCAACAGATATTCCCCTATGATCATGGTAATAATTTGGCCATTAAGTCAAATATGTAGAAATATCGTCACATACCTCTTTCTGGATTTATTTCTCTGTTTATAATTTTGCAATCCATTGGACTAGAAATAGGCTGTTTATTTGACTTTCGAAATATGCTGATAGACTTGAGTTATTCCCTTAAATAATGTTGTTTTGTGGTTTACTTTATCGCTATTTAACTTCCGAAACATATCATAATACATAATACTCAATTGATCCATTTAATATATAATCCTACATTTTGTCTTTATCGAATTAACTAGCTTCTTTGTTCGTCACCTTTTTTTCATTCAATAAAATAGGGTGCAAATCCGAATTGTATTAATGCTGCTAAAGAAACGCCATTAATTTGCGCTGTACGTCATGGTTTCGTTGAAGCGATATCTGTACTAAAAGAAAATGGTGCAGAGATTAATGCTACCGGAACATCGTAAGCTGAATAATTTATATGTACTTCTTTTAAGTTTATAAGAACTCTCGTCTAAATTAGAACGAATAGTTTCACAGTATTTGAGCGCCGAGTTGAAGTAAGACATTAAATAGGAATAATATATTTGTAAAACCTCAGCGAATGAATTTTTTAAATTAAATCCAACGTTTCGCCTGGCAATCTGGTCCAAGCTTTTTCAAGGAATTATAATCAAACATCAAAATTTATATTCGATAATTTTGATGTTTGATTATAATTCCTTGAAAAAGCTTGGACCAGATTGCCAGGCGAAACGTTGGATTGAATTTAAAAAATTCATTCGCTGAGATTTTACAAATATATTATTCCTATTCTTTTAAGTTTATTGCAATCTACCGATATGTTCTTATTCTGTAATCTTGACGATCTTTAACCGTAACTTAGGGAGACATACAAGAATCCTTTTTCGTATTTGCCGTCCATTAAAAAAAGGAGATTTAACATATTTACAGTTCATAAAGGATTTTTAATAGTTCCCTATTTTTCAACTTACATGTACGATGTTATCACTTCTCCGTTTTCAAATAACTTTATGAACTGAACGCTTTTGACATAAAGGAATACACACATTTGAGAAACCAACTTCAAGGAAGGGAGAAATGAGAATGGCATCAATCTGTTCTGTATTTAACATATCATTCCCATTATCTTAAATATATAAAAATTAATCTAAGGTGAGTTGACTGGTTGCTGACCTATTAATTGCCCATCATTACAACACCCCTGAGTACGTCTAGATAACTCAATGTTAAAATAATGTTATTCACGTGTAATAAGAATATCTACAGAAAATAATGTAGTGTTTTCATAGGTCGTCACAGTTAATAACTGATATTAAGTGTTATGACTTGACCTAGCCGTCGCCAATTTGTTATGTTTTTGACCTGGGCAGTAGCCAATTGTTATGACTTGATCAAGGTCGTCGCTGATTCGTTATGACCTTACGAATTTAACAAGGACGTAATTCGCGTAAATTATCCACCAATAGAATTCGCCTTCTACGACCTTCACACTGTGACAATGACGTTCGATTAGTATGAGTAATCTAGCGTCCTTATTGGCCCTTATCCGCCTAACCCGTCCACTTGAGTCCAAAACACCAATAGCAGCCTCGGCAATACAAATCGTTTATTTCAAGCATACTTTATCTATTTACCAGACAGGCAGACCACACCACACCATAAAATAGAAAATAATATTTGCACAAAACCAGGCCAAATGAGGCTGTAAGCGTGGGAGACAATAATCAATAAACTGAGTATAACATAGGGACAGTAAATCATATAGTAATAATCTATAGGTCAAAATAAAGCTTAGATAATCTAGTTACCGAATAGTTATACAATAAGAATGATAGTCCAATAGTAAGTCCTGCAAGTTACCCGTACTTATGTCTTCGCTACTACATAACATTAAGACCTAATTTTTTTTCGATTAACACTAAATTCCCGAATAAAGATTGGCAATCAATAATTCGATTGAAAAATTCATCTGATGGATCGCTCGTGATAATATTATTGTCATAGACAATAAACCGAGCAGTTAAGTTTAGTTTTGCTTCTACAATAATGATCTTGACGGCTACCATTATTTGCCTGGCTTCGTTACTCTATTGTTAAATATGACTTTCATGTCATTATAGATATGCATATGCTGTTTCACAATGCTACTACTGTTGAAAACACTATTCATTACAATATACGCCTTTAAATTAATTATAAATATTTTCATTTTGACATTATTTATTATGTTGTGTGTCTGTATTTTCACGTTGTTTGTCTATCTAACATTCAAATTATTATTGGCTATATTTCTATATTATTATCATTAATCGATAAAGCGAGTCTGCTGCTATTCATATATAAATATTCCCTTAAAATTATCTAAATTGTTTTTCTATATATGAAATTTCATTATCCTAGTGGTTATTTAAAAAAAAAACAGAATAAACTGCATTTAGAAATGGTATAGATTTAAATTATTAAGTGTATATTACTCATTAAACATTCTTTTTAAGGAACAGATTACTAGAATTTATATCTATACAAATAATTTGTTCTCACTTGGATCTCCCCTTGTTATTTTAATGTCAGGGATAGTGTAAACATTCAGTTATTCTTTTAATATTGCATTATCCTTTCTGTCTCTATTTCATTTTTTTTTCAAATTATTACTATTTATTTGACTTTTTATGTAACAATTAGTGTTCTACTAAATGATTTATTTATAAGATTCTGTCTTCATTATGATATAAGTAAATCTTATTATTGACAGTAGAATATTTATCAGAAGGGGTTTTGTGGAGATTTAGTATTTTTATAGTTGAAAACATGAGTAGAATATTCGACCGATTTATCTAATCCATAAATTTCATTCTGTAAAGTAACTGAATGGAGTAAGAGCGATATTTCACTTGAAACAAATATCAGTGAAATTGATTAGTTTGTTTAGATTATCTCATGATAAATCTAAAACACTATTCTAGGACGCTCATTGTTAGTATGTACTTTTTATACATGCCATATAATGATTTCCAATGCAAATAACAACAAAGACAAATATTAAAGAAACGGTAACATTGTTTTGTGTTCGGAGAAACACACTAGACCTAGTTGGTACCAATACTGATACTTTACTATAAGAAAATGGTAACACGTAAAGTTATGTAATAAGAACACATCAATAGACAGTTAACAATTGTTTACTTTCTTTCTTTTGCCTTCCATAGTTGTCTTGAGAGAAAAAATATTGTTTTCCTGAAAATCGTACTTTATTCTAAAACGGAAATCATACCCTCTGTTTGTTCTTATAACTTTTTTTTATTACATACATCTCTTACCGTAGATCAGGAAATAATAATCACTGCGTTGCAGATGACTGCTAGTTGTTAGAAATATTTGCCGCTTAAAGCGTTCCAATTTAAGCGCAATATGTTTGATATTGTTGATCATTGCTTCTAGAGCATGATCATTTGTACTTGTGCCTTTAACAGTCATCTGCTAGGGTAAATTCTATCATGAATTGCATTTAAAACTCTTTATGACGCTAAGATAAGTACGGTTAGTACTGAATAATATCTGCAATCAAAACAAGTGTGAGTCAGTTCAGCTACTCTTGTAGAGCTAGTTATATAAGCCACCCAATCAGTTCATCATCATATCACAGAATACTATCCTGCCTGATTGAGAAAAGGGAAGTTAAAGCCAATTAGGAATTATATTCTTGGCTGATATAGGCAATCAACTTGACTTGAATAGAACTTTCCAAGTCATCTTCCGAAATCTTAGTTTTAATCTTTGTTCTTACGTAACTACTACTAAGTTGAATCGTAATTAGAATAGCTTGCTAATTGTATCACTGGACGTCAAATAATCCATCAACCGTTGATCTACATATCTTCAATTTTCCCAAATAATTTTTGGTTATTATACTTACCCTAGCTTCCTTCTTTCAATCACTTATTAAATCATTCGACCTTATTTTTATAATCACTTTCGAAACTGTAATATTATTATACTTACTTACACCTGTTACCCATCGTGGAGGAGCTTAGGCCACCCACCAGCATTCTCCATCCAATCCTGTCCTGGGCGATCCTTTCCAGTTAACATTCATCCTTTTCATATCTGAATCTATTTTCCGGCGTAATGTGTTCTTTGGCCTTCCTCCTTTCCGCCTCCCTTCAGCATTCCAACTAAGCGATTGCCTCGTGATGCAGTTTGGTGATTTCCTCAATGTATGTTCGATCCACCTCCAGTGTCTTTTCCTCGTTTTTCTTCAGCTGAATTCTGGTTTGTTCTCTGTCACAGTAGGTCGTTGCTGATATTATCCGACCAACGGATATTGAGTACCTTGCGCTTCCCTTTCGGATTCCAAGTTAGGGATTGAGTCGTGTTGCACATTGTTGATTTCCTTAATGTATGTCCGATCCACTTCCAACGTCTTTTCCTAATTTCCTCTTCAGCTGGAAGCTGGTTTGTCCTTTCCCATAAAACACTGTTGTTGACAGTATTCGGCCAGCGAATGTTCAGTATTTCGCGTAAAAAACTGTTTATAAACACTTGTACTTTCATGAGGATAGTTGTAGTAGTTCTCCACGTTTCAGCTCCGTACAGTAGAACTGTCACGACATTCGTATTGAAGATTTTCACTTTAAAGTTAGTTGACAGTTTCTCCATTAGGTGTAATTGGGTTGGTCGGTGTTATCCGTGTTGTATTTGAGGATCTTGCTTTTTCCGTTATGTATATTGAGACCTATTGATGCAGAGGCTGCTACTTCATTTGCTGTCTTCGTCTGTATTTGTTCATGTGTATGAGAAAGGAAGGCGAGGTCATCTGCGAAGTCCAAGTCGTCTACTGGGTCCTGAGATGTCCATTGTATTCCGTGCTTCCCATCAGATGTCGAAGTCTTCATAATCCAGTCAATCACCAAAAGAAAGAGGAAGTTGAAATTAAAAAGCCTTGTCTGACACCGATGCCTATTGGAAATGCAGAAGTCTTGCCTGCGCGATTCTGCACTATAGTCCGTCGTATGAGTTCTGGATAATGTTGACCATCTTCTCAGGTACACGATAGCGTCGAAGAAGTTTCCATAATGTGCTCCGGACCACACTGTCAAACGCCTTCTCATAGTCAACGAAGTTGATGCACAGTGACGAGATCCATTCAATTGATTGTTCAACGATGATCCGTACTGTTGCGATTTGATCTGTGCACGATCGATCCTTACGGACTCCAGACTGTTGACCTCGAAGTTGGGCGTCTACTGCGTCTTTCATCCAGTTCAGCAACACTCTGTTAAAAACTTTCCCTGGTACTGCCAACAAACTGATGCCTCTGTAAATCTCACATTTGCTCAGATCTCCTTTCTTTGGTATCTTGATGAGGTATCCTTCTTTACGGTCTGTCAGTGGCACTTGTTCCTCTTCCCAAAGCTTTCTGAATGAAACGTGGAGCATGTTTGCAGTTACTTCAATGTCTGACTTTAGTGCTTCGGCTGGTATATTGTCAGGTCCTGATGGTTTCCCATTCTTGATTTGCCTGGTGGCCATACTGATTTCTTTGGTCGTTGGTGGAGTGACATCTATAGGAAGGGCTGTAGGTGCTGCTTTGCTGTCCAGTGGATTCAATGGAGCTGATCTATTCAAGAGTTCGTCAAAGTGTTCTACCCATGTGTTCCTCTGTTCGTGAATCTCAGTGTTTGGCTTGTCTTCTTTGTCCTTGACTGGTCTCTCTGGTTCACTATATTTTCCTGCCAGTTTCTTCGTCGACTCATACAGTTGTTTCATATTCCGTTCTCCTGCAGATTTTTCCGCTGTCGTTACTATGTCTTCCATGAATTTCTGTCTGTCGGCTCTGATACTCTTCTTTACTTGCTTGTTTGCTTCAGTGTATTCACTTTCTGTCTTGACTTTCTCAGTCCTTGTTCGACTGTTGTTAATTGCTGTCTTCTTGTTCTTTCTTTCTTTCTTCAATCTTGTCCAGGGTACCTATAGAGATCCATCCCTTATGATGATGCTTGTTTCGGTCCAACACTTCCTGACACGTCGAAGTAAACGCTTCTTTGATCCCTTTCCAGCTGTCCTCCACCGTAGTTTCCTGTTCTTTCAGTAGATCCTGTAAGGCTTGGAACCTGTTGTTGAGAGTTATCTTGAATTCGTTGAATTTTTCAGTATGTCGAAGAAAGGCTGTATTGAACTTTTGTAATGCTGTTTGTCCAGTTGTCCAATGCTTATTTAGCTTCAGTTTGATCTTTGCAACCACTAGATGGTGATCTGAAACGATGTCAACTGTGCTCCTGATTCTCACGTCTTCCATTGTCCTTGTGGATATCAATGATAGTATATATATATATATATATATATATATATATATATATATATATATATATATATGAGAGAGAGAGAGAGAGACGAGGCAGCTGTTCGATGCATGTTGGAAGGATTTAGTAGTTATCTCTACATTGTCATCATCAAAACTAAACTACTGTAGTCTCATCAGATACTTGGATTAAAAATGTGAGGCAGCACTGAATATTATTGAACACAAATAACTGAGTACTTCATCCATTCGTTTTTATGAATTTATCGGTCACGTAAAATACATCATTATTATAAATAAGTCATTGCTCAGGTGTTAAGTTTGAAAATTTCACGATTGTTAAAAGTTCGTCTAAGGTGGTATCACTTTTTTCATTTACCTTAAAATAGATTGCAGCAAAGCCTGCGACTCGCTGAAGTATTTCTAATTTTCGTATTTGGATAGTTAGTAGACTTTAATAAAGTACTTTGAAAAGCACATTGGACAAACGCTTATTATTGCTCCAGTCTAAATATTTAACAGCATATTTTATTCATACCTTGAGTTGAAAGCGGAAGGGCTACACGAATATTCCAGAGAATTTTATGATAGGTAATTGATTTGCACTGTCTTGGGAGTTATCGGCTGACATCAAAACTGGAACTATTTTGGCAATAGTAAGTAATCCCAAGAATTAGTGAAGGATTCCATGTATGGTCTAGTGTATTTATGATTTTAAGGCTTAACGAAGTTAGACAAGCTTTTTTTTATTGATAATAGTTCACTGTCAAATACTTTGAAGTAGGCATTCAAATCACATCAGTAATTGTAGCTTCGATGGTCAGATGACCGTCGCTTTGCTACAATTACATACTAATTTCCATAACATGCTTATTTAGCCAAGACCCTTCAACCACAACAATTTATGCAATCTACATTTCAGTCACAAAGTATGCTTTTATATAATAATCGATTAATTCGAACAAAAAGATAACTGACTGACATCGCGGCTATTACATGATCATTACGTACAAAACCTAAATAAGTCTGTTTCGGGAAGACGAAATAATCCATCATCTATTTGGATCTATCTGTCACAAAATGTGTGTTGCAGCACATAATCAACAAAAGCACTCGTTTTAGTGATCGTGTAAGAATTATCCTGACAAATAAAAACTCTTTGTTATGCAACCCCTAGTATTTTGTCGCTTAGGGAAAGACGTTAGCGGGGTTTTCTTATTTTCTTTCCTACGATCACTCATTGTGATGAATGTGAGAACAGTAAGTCATCAATAGCAAGGAAAGTTAAACATCTTACAGTAGCTTCCCCATACTCTCAAATAAATGGTTTGATTGCAAGTCATTAACATCATTCAAAGCATCAGCGCAAACCTTAAGGAGAAGTATGCTATTTGAATTAGAGTTTATGACTTCAGGTTTGATGATCGTAAGAAGCTTTATTTTATTCAAACCGGTCATTTTGTTAAAGGGATTCACGATCGATATTCGTCTAAGCCATTGGCAGTTTGAGTTTGTACCTATAAGTGTCTTCTAGGTATGCCATAATGTTCTAGATCTTAAGCAGTCATTGAAGTAGTGAGATTTTCCATTATCACATTTCGTTTGTTCAATACTAGTAAACTGAAAAAACCAATACTCTTCAATATAAAAGCTTTATCCATAAAAAATTCTGAATGTTTCTACTAATGTTTTCACAAAATATCATTGCCATTAAAAACGACGAGATGTTATATTGAATAGTGGGCTAGGTGTAGATTAAATTAGTTCCCCGAATACGTGTAGTCATACAGTATACATGCGACTTTTCTGCTAAGACTGTACAATAAACTTCTGAATAAGAAAATTTATGTAAGTTAAAAACTAGCCACAATGATTTGTATCACACTGTAATAGAGATATGTGAGTTGGGTTACTTTTGAGAAATAAATAATAAAACACTGGGTAGCGTAAACACGAGACAGATAGTCTACGTATCTATGATATTGATCATACTATATCGAAACGATTGTTCAATTTCAAGTCAACTTCACCTGTAGTATCATAATCAGTGAGTTCTTCCAATTGTTTTTGACCTAAATGTAAAGCGAACAGTCGTATTAACGGTTCACAGTTCGAATGTAGCGCTAGTGAATGTGGTGTTTCTTTACGGTTATTTCCTATTTTCATATTTGCACCACATCTATGTAGAAAATAAGAAGGAAAGACAATAACAAGTAAGAGTTGGAGAAGGATCTTCAGCAACTAAATCTTCTTTACTTGCTTGTTTGCTTCAGTGTATTCACTTTCTGTCTTGACTTTCTCAGTCCTTGTTCGACTGTTGTTAATTGCTGTCTTCTTGTTCTTTCTTTCTTTCTTCAATCTTGTCCAGGGTACCTATAGAGATCCATCCCTTATGATGATGCTTGTTTCGGTCCAACACTTCCTGACACGTCGAAGTAAACGCTTCTTTGATCCTTTTCCAGTTGTCCTCCACTGTAGTTTCTTGTTCTTTCAGTAGATCCTGTAAAGCCTGGAACCTGTTGTTGAGAGTTATCTTGAATTGGTTGAGTTTCTTAGTATCTTGAAAGAAGGCTATATTGAACTTTTGTAATGCTGTTTGTCCAGTTGTCCAATGCTTATCTAGCTTCAGTTTGATCTTTGCAACCACTAGATGGTGATCTGAAACGATGTCAACTGTGCTCCTGATTCTCACGTCTTCCATTGACCTTGTGGATTTTTTAGTGATGCAAATATGATCTATCTGGTTCTCTGTGTTGTGGTCCGGCGAGATTCATGTAGCTTTGTGTATGTGTGTGTGGAAGTATTGTGCCGCCTATAACCAATTTGTTGAATGCACATAGATTTGCAAATC